TCGAATTATGTTCGGAAGGTGCACGCATGCACTGCATTGGACATAAGATTATATTGCATGATGCCATGATCGATCTAATTAATTACCCGCTTGCATGCAGGAACGCATTTTATTCTCACTTAAATCCACTCTAATTATATATGTCGATATATGAAACCCAAATTATTACGACTCCATCCAACCTGCATGCTACACGTGCAGGTGAACGTTGAGGACACGGACAGGGTCACATTAAGGGCTACCCTGGGCTGTTGCACATGTAGCTTTCAGTAGGAAACAAAATTTTACATGTAATTTTTATTTTCGAATGTAATTCACCACATATTTAGTCACTGATTCAAATTATTTCGGTTTAATTATATAATATAGTTTATAAACCATCTCTTTTTCTCACATCTTTTTTCTCATCGCTTTTTGTACATGTACAAGTTTGAATTTGTTTGAATAACAAAAGTTCTTGGCTCATCTTGTGAAAATTTTCTTAATAGTATCAATTTTCTTTGTTTATAAAGATCTAAATATTTAAGTTAGTTCATCCGGTGATAATTTTTTAACACTGTCATCGGTTGAGGACTAAATATCTTTGATGGTTCGTGGTTGATAACTTGATTTTTTTTTTTTATCCAGATAGATGAAGGATAGTTCGTCTGTTAGTGGATAATTTGTCGTTATCAAAGTTAGGTAGGGACTAGGGTTACTAATTTATTTGGACAGGTCGTGGTTGATAACTTTATATTTCCAACCTTGAACCATCGGCATGTTAAAGTTGTGCTAATGTTGTTACATATTAGGTGATGCACGCTTTTGTCGATTCCATTGCCCCACCATATGCTTTTGACAAAGTCTTTTGGCATTTTCTATTATTAAAAATGTTAAACAAACTTTCTCAAAGGTAAGATGTTGTATAGATTCTTTGTCCCTTCATATTTTTGACATAGTATTTTATAAAGTTAGGATGGTAATTAACGTTAATTGTGAGGTGACAGATAGTCTATAGATAGAGAATTCCACTTTGAGAGTCTCCTTGACCCTTCCTATTACTTATAAAGAGTGGAATTCGGATCCTCTTTATGAGGATCCTGGAGATTCGTGAATTATATCTGTTCATCGTACATCGTGCGGTTAGAAATCATTTTAAATATTTTTATTTAAAATTAAATACAAACAGTACCTGACAAAAACTGATCGCACGATGTATGATAAACGGACACAATTTATTGATCCACAGGATCCTCACCAAAAGGATCTGGAGAGGATCCTGTTGGTAAGGAGTGTGCTAGCAACCTTTGCAATAATTTTGGTATTTAGATCTTTTTACTTCTTCAAATGACACATGTCATTTTATTACACAAAAGATAAGATTTTTTTTCTTTCAATTAATGATGAAAAATACAAAATATAATTTCAAGGGCAATTATGGTCTTAGCTTTGTGTAAAAAATGACACATGCTATTTGAAGAAGTGAAAAGATCTAAATGCCTTGGTGCAAAAATTACTAGAACTTCTCTTACTTACACACTACAAAGAAAAATTTAATCTCAAAGGTACTAAGTCACGTATATTAAGTTAGGGATTTATTGATATTCTCAAAATTTTATTTTGCATTCTTCATAAATGTATGCTTTATTCTAAATATCAAAAATTTGAAGTGTAAAATAAAAATTTTAAAATACAAATAACAATTCTCTTAAGTTAATATCATCAGCGATAGGTATTAAATCAAGATATATAGAAAGTTGGATTTTAAAAGTTACAACAAAAAATCGTTGGGTGAAGAGAGAGAATTGTTGGGTCCATATATGAGAAATACATGTAGTTCGAAAGCCATATTTCATGAGGAAGAGCAGCTCGATTTGAGAATTTTTTTGGAAAAGGCAAACTCATTACAGAAAAAGAAAAAAAAATACAAACAAACAAATGTACACAAATGGAAGCCCAATTACAATTAAATCATAAAATTAAAATATGGATCCCCAAAGCAAAAGGCCCTATTCAAAGTTTGAGTCCAATACATACAAAACCAAAAAACCCTAGGAACTCAGTCCTCGTTTTAGGATCCACCAGACCTAATTCAAGACATCTTGACTAAAGAAAGATCCAGTAAGTTTAAATACCTTGATTGTTATACATTGAAACTTTTAAGTGTCCATTGAGGATGGTTAACTTTTAAGTGTCCTCGGGTTAAAATACGGGCAAAGTTTTTATCGAGGCTCATTTGTGCACTCTACCCTTAATTATGTACGTTTTCGAATTTACTATGTTTCTCCAAAAAAAAAAAAAAAAAAAGTAGTGAGGCGATTGATGCATGGTTGTAGGTTTTTATTTCCTAAACCTCTCATTGTCTTGAAAATTTAGAAATGGTTTTTTTTTTTTTTTTCTTTTTTGACAAACAATAAGATAATCTACATTAAATTCATCTAAACTATCGAGAGTGAGTAGTTTGAACCCAAGAGGAAGGACCTATCCATTAGGGCAATCCATCTCTTGTTGAAACGACGGCGCCCTATACCAATGAAACTTAGACATGTGTAAGTTTTTTGTCCACATATCCTTGTTTTATTGTCATAGGGTGCAACATGATAGTGTACTAGTGTCATGTAAGTTTTTTGTCTACCTGTCTTTGTTTCATTGTCATGGGACTCCATGGGACTCCACGTGACAGCATACCAGTGCCATGTAAGGTGTTCTCGTTAAAATGATATGTATACATAAGTATTTTAGACAAGTCCTTATAATAGGTGTTGACTACAATACTTATATGGATTTAGTACAATCATCATCTTATTAATGTGAACATATGTATTTAATATAATTATCATCGTACCGTTGAGATGATGATTGTATTAAATACTGTTTGGACCCAAATTTACGCTATCGGCCCATACAATCAAGGCCGTTAGATGAGTAAAGTTCTAGACCGTTGGATGATAAAGTGGTTGAGATAATTTTCAATTATTATTAAGGAATAATATTGTGGTTTTAATCATAATATTATCTCTTAATATATATTGGATTATCTAAGCCTAATATTGGCTATATCCAGCGGATCGTTTAAAGATAAATGGAGAAGCAAATCATATTTCCAGGAGAAGTACATTTCAAACGGGTTTGAGATGTTTGGTACGACCCACGAGTCATGATCACCAAAATGGCCTGCACCTTTGGAATTTGAGGGATTTTTTTGACGGTGCCTTTTTTATGGCCAAGACCTATTGGAATGAATGCCTAAGGGATAGGCTTGCATGCTACTTATCTGCATGCTTTGGTTCCAATGCTGTGAAGCTTATCAAATTGGCTGATGCATGCTAATTGTTTGCATGAAGTAAAGAGATAATCATGATGATATCTAAAAGATAGGTTGTTGCTTACCTTGAGAAGTCTTTGACCTAGACTCTAGCTAATGAGTTTGAATTATAATCAAATTCTACACAAGTGAAGCCGCACCACACATCTGCTTCTATAAATACAAGGCTGCGAACACCATTCAGGGGACCTCCAATTCAACACATAACCGCCCTACGCAAAACCTTTCGAACATCTTGAGATTTTTTTATTTTCTTTTTCTCGCCAACACATCTTCAGTTTGGATAAACAGCACTGTGAAGGCAACCAGCGAACATCTTCAGTTTGGATAAACAGCACTGTTGCCGTAGAATCAGCCGTTCTCGAAGCACCTTCAGTTTGGATAAACAGCACTGCATCAAGGTCGACTGGTTATCTATCCAAGTCTAGGTTGAGAAGGATTTTCAAATCCTTATTGGCAGAGGTCATCTCATTAGCCTTCTGACCAAAGTGAGGTGTTACCAGGTTACTACATTCGGCACCATAAGAGCCAAATTTGATATTGAACTTCGCAGAACTAGCAGCCTTGTCTTCAGGCTCGAGAATCCAAAGGCCGAGATTTGGTCCTTCCTCGGCTGCAATCGCAAGATAAAGAAGTTAGCAACGCGCTCAACGCAACATCAACAAATTTTACTCCTCGGCCGAGCTCGGCCGACGAGTTGGCACGGCCCGCATTCAACCGAAGGACGTAGTTAGCTTATTAGTTACTCGGCCTGCTCGCCACGTAGGCTTTGTAATTTTTAGAGCCAACAAATACATGTAAGTATTATAAACAAGTCCCTTGTTATATTCAATTTTCTTAATTAAGGATTGTAGACAAATTCTTTATAATATTCAAACTTCTCTCTTTTTTAAAGTAGAATTTATCTTACTTAAATGATTATGAACTCACGCAAGTGGTCCTTTACCACAGTAGTAGAGAGGAATGTTGTCCTTATACCATGGCATGGTTTCGAATCCCGTCAGCTTCCTAATCTAACATCTAATCTAACAAATCTACAGTTTGACCAAAAAAATTGATTGTGAACCCATATAAGGGGGAATCATTACTTGACAATTTGAGTTATGACTTTGGTAGAATTCTGAGTGTATTTTCTCCACTCAAACACAAGGCAAGTTCAATTCTGCTAAAAGAATATATATAGAGGTTAAACTTTTATTTGTTACAAATAATGGATAATTTACATAAAATTAACTCACGAGAAGAAGAGTTCAAATTTTGATGCAAATACAGGAGTTAACTTGACTAACTGCATATCTGTAATAACTCATTAAACTTCGCTATTGTTTTATCGGTGACATAGAAGAAAAACAAAGAAAACCTAATTACCATCCTAGTCCATCCCCATAATCAAATCAAGTTGGAACTTCTAAATTGAAATGTAAGATGGACCAAAAAGAAGTCCTACATGCGTTGTCACAAAGCTTGGGAAAAGGAAATTAAGCCCAGACGCAGGCGGGGTATCCCAATGTCCTCTTTCATACAACATTTCCTATATCTGTTACAAGACTCTAAACATCTTCATTAACAATTTAATTAACATCATCATGCATAAAAGAGAGAACTAATCCACTATCTATAATATATGACTGGCATAATCTAATTGATTTCAACAGTACCAAAACCAAAATCACCAATAAAAGGATCATTGGTATGCTAATTCAAAATCTAAAGATCTTCATTAACAATTTAACATCATGATACAAGAGAAAAACATAAGACTGTATAACACAAACTGGAGTTATATATAAGAACAATACTATTGCTATGGTTCCAACTAAATGTTTAGCAATATTCCATCTTTCTTAGATGAAGCATTTCTACTACTACTCGAGAGGCTCCACTGATCGGAAAATCCCAAACCCGAAACCGAACCACCACTCCCACATTTAGCCACAGTCCTCACACTCTCAATCAACTCCTGAGTCCGACCCTCTTGAGCCAAAATCTCCAACAGCTGCTCTGGACTGATCACCAGCTTCACCTTCCAAAAACTGACGTTGTTGTACTTCGAAAACGCCTCAGTGTAAGACCTCTTCATCATTCCTTGGTAATCAAGCGACATTCTGTAGGGCGCAGCAAGTGAACAAGTTGGTATGCTGCTTGACCTAACATGTCCTTCCCTCACAATCTGGGCGCTGCCCAAGTGACGACCACTTTGGCTGTTGAGGGGGAGAAGATAGTAACTTTGTCCTGCCAGAAGATCATCATGGTTAGAGAGCGGTTTCCAAAATAGGTCATGGCTTCTGAATATTCCATGGCCTGGAAATTCCTTGGTGATGGAGACTACTGTGATTGGCACATAAAACTCCATTATCCCACCATTTGATGTTGTCACTTGGACTACCCCATCTGCATCTCCCAAACCTCCAAACAAGCAATTGCCCATTTATTAAAAATCCCTACTAAAACCTTTGTTGCTCTTGCTGTAGTTATAACTTTAACTTAGAGACAGCTTATGCCTAGTGGGTTGCTTGGAAGGATAAAAGAGGGGGAAAGTTATGGAGAGAGAGGGATTATTGATTTATTCGTCGGTGGGATACTTCTTCGGAGCTTTCCTCAACTAAACAGAGAATAAAAAAACAAGTAAACAAAAGGATATACAAAAAGAAAAAGTAGTGTGACAAAAGAAGGCCACTAGTGTAGTGTGGTCAGAAAGCGTATATATTATGTGTTTTATATGGTCCGGTGATGCAGGAAATGGTTGTAAAATGGAAATAGTTGGTAGTTTAGGATCTATATACTGGTCCATTCTTTGAATAAGAAGTGTTATGCACTCTTATTTTTCTTTTGTACATTTTTGTTTATTTTTAACCAGATTGTAAAACTCAAGTAAGAAAAACTAGATGGAGTCCATTCATTAAGTGTGTGTAAATATAAAAATTTATATATATAAAAAAAAAAGTATAATATGAAAGAGAAAAAAATTGGAGAGAAATGTGAGAGACAGGGAAAAAATGTGGGTTACTTTTATTAATTTTTGTGCAAAATTACTTTAATGGCTATACTTTTCTTTCTGATATTTTCTTCTAATTATGCACGAAAGGTTGTTAATGGTATCTTTCTTAACTTTTGGTTAAAAATGAATGTTCTATTAATATGTAGTATAAATAAGCAGTTTGCAGAAAGATAAAAATGTGAGCATAAATGAAAATACCTTATTGTTTTTGGGTCAATAATTCCATTAACCATCTTTTTCACTTTCTCTTTATCAAAAATGGTAAAGAAAAACTAAGGAAACCCGATAAAATTTACGCGCCAGTACAGAAAAAATTGGTAAAGAACAAAAACCCGTAGAATCTCATCATTACTCGTTGTTTAAAGTGAAAGTGGCAATTTGACTAGTCCTCCCCTATGTGAATATGCCTTTAAAAAAAAATTTGAAAAATTTGAAATAGGTCTAATTTTATAGATTACATTTTGAAATAGATTCAATTTTTAGTGAATTTTGATTTTTGAAATAGATCCAATTTTTAGTTACTTTGGACCCATATCAAAAGACCCCTTAAAAATACGGGTAGCTACCATTCTTTTTGTCTCTTACTGCCTCAAGAAGGCGGAAAGTGATCATATCCGGATCTCTTCCATTAAATCCACTAAATCCACTCATTCGGACTTTTAAAATTTGATTCAACGGTTAAAAAAGAAGAAAATTTTGTGAATTTGATAAAAGGGATCCGAAGCTCCCTTTTCCAAGAAGGCAGAAAGAAATAGAGTGGGAAACTACGGAAATTCAGGGCAGACAAATTGGTCGCATTTGGATTTTGCTTTTCTATGGGAACAATTAGGCATGGCATGCTATATATTATGCAATCTTTAGCTCAGATGTATAAATCAATTTCCAATTTTCCACCACAAAGTTGATGTTTCGTGGAATCTTATGCGCTCATAATGCATCAAAGCCCGCTGTCAGTTATATTTAATTATGTCTTTATTTTTTTATTTTTGAGGGAGTTTGATATAAGCCCGTGGTCAATTATATTTATTCATGTCTTTGTTTTTATTTTACATCATGGAATGTTTCTTTGAACTGACTGGCATGGTTTGGGTTATTGTTAAACAATACTTGGCTACTCAAGTATGAGTAGGAACTCTTATTAAAAAAAATTCAAAATTGTTCGTTGGCAATTTATATAATTTTGTGTTTATAATGAGAATCATTCATATTATAAATTGTCCTATTTGGAAGCCGTCAGCAACATCCACCACATAAATAAGGCTTCATATTATAAATCGTCCTATTTGGAACCCATGACACTTCTGAGGCACCCTCATCTCCGCGTTCTTCTATTGCCCCTACTTCTATCATGTCTTCTTCTCTGCCACCAACAACACCTGGTGCACCGAATCCGAGCTCCCGCCCAAGATGTGGTACACAGGTACCTGGCTATCTTTGTGAGTATCATGTTGGTGTGTCCGTCCCTTCATGGACTCCTCCCTCATCTAACTCGGCGTTGGCTGGAACTACATGTATTACTTATCCATTATGTAATGTGCTTTCATATGATCGGGTTATCACCCACATATCGTGCTTTTTCTACTTCCATTTCAGTTGAAAATGAGCCTTATTCATATTCACAAGCAGCATGTGATCCTAAATGGCGTGCTGCCATGCAACAAGAATTGGTTGGCCTTAAAGCAAATAGAACCTGGTCCCTTCAACCTTTACCTCAAAGACAAAAACTAGTTGGATGCAAATGGGTGTACAAGATCAAATTCAATCCTGATGGGATCATTGAATGTTATAAGGCTCGCTTGGTTGCCGAGGGTTATAGCCAAATTGAAGGCTTGGATTACTGCAAAACTTTTGCACCAATTGCAAAACATGTTACTGTTTGTCTTCTTTTGGCCATTGCATGTACCCAACATTGGCATCTTCATCAACTTGATGTAAAAATTGGCTTCTTGCATGGTGACCTTAAAGAAGATGTGTACATGTCTATCCCTTCTCGATTTGGACGAAAGGGGGAGACAAGAGTGTGTAATCTTCATAAATCATTGTACGCACTCAAGCAAACTTCTTGTTAATAGTTCATCATTCATCAAGCTTTCTCAGTCCCTTAAACAAGCTGGCTATCAACAATCCAAAGCGGATTATTCATTGTTCGTCTGATCCAGAGGTGGTAGATTCACTGCTCTTCTTGTTTATGTAAATGATGTTATTTGGGCAGGTAATAATCTACAAAATATTGAAGACATTAAGTTGTTTCTATAGAAACAATTTAAGTTGAAGGATCTTGGCCAACTAAAGTACTTCTTCGACATAGAGGTGGCTCGATCTAATGAGGGCATTGCACTCTCTCAATGGAAATATGTTCTTGAAATCATTGAGGATGCTGGATATTTAGGTGCGAAGCTAGCTCACTTCCATATGGAACAAAATTTCTCTCAATAAAACTGATGGTGATTATATTAGTGATCCTTCTTTATATCAAAGGCTCGTTGGGTGACTCATTTACTTAACCATCACACGTCCTGATATGGTATATGTAGTCCATATCCTAAGCCAATTCATGGACTCGCCACGAGTTCCACACATGGAAGCCACTTATTCTATCTTGCACTATATTAAACACGCGCCAGACCAAGGAATTTTACTTTTTGCTGCTAATCCAATCCAACTAAATGCCTTTTGTGATGTGGATCGGGCTCGATGTCGTGACACTCGAAGATCTATTACTAGATATTGCATCTTCTTTGGGCAGTCACTAGTTTCATGGAAAACTAAGAAGTAAACCACGATAGCACAATTAAGTGCGGAAGCCGAATAATGATCCACGGTGCTACTTGTTGCAAAATTACTTAGTTGAAATATATTTTGCAGGACTTGGGCATCAAACATCCTTATCATGTCAAGTTATATTGTGATAATCAAGCAGCCATATTGCTTCAAACCTAGTCTTTCACGAGTGAACAAAGCATATAGAGATTGACTGTCATCTTGTACGAGGAAAGTTCAAAACGGAATGATCAAGACGACTCACATGTGACAACCCATTCCAGAATTTACGGAACAGAAGGGCTTTTTAGTATTTTCACTTTGGGTTTCTACAAGATTTTTTTAAATGTGCGTTTGGACCTTATTTGGTATGCCCAAAGGGGGCTCAGCCTCTCTCTTCTTCGACTGCCACTTGGCAGCTTTCCCTCACCTTCTCTTTCTTTCATTCTCCCTGAGTCAACTCTCACACTGTCACTCTCGGATCTCTCTCTTTCTCATTTCAACCTCCCTCTCCCCTTCCCAGCGACACACACACTCACTGTCACCCTCACCCAAGACAAGAGGATCGACGACACCACCCACCGTGTTGGACCTTTCTCTCTCTCTCTTTGTCTCTGTGAAGCTCCGGGACACCCAGAGGGCACCCAACCCAAGTCCGACGAGCTCGTGACTTTCGAGCAAGAATCCAGCCACCTCCGGCCATTTCACGATGTGACACAATTACCAAACGCTGTTTCTCATCTCTATCTTCATCTTAGTTGTTAGATCGTAGGTTAAATTGACAAGTCAACGCCAACCAGAGCTCAGGAAGCTCCGGCCTTCGTTCTTAACAAAACCGGGTCAGCCAACCTAAATTCAGCAACCCAAGTCCATTGGCCCAATCCTTTAGGCAGAGCTTTCAGGCCCAAAACCCTTTAGCCCAAAAACCTAAGGGCTTCGGCCCACTGAAAAACCCCAACCCTTAACCTCATTTAACCCAAACCACAAACCCTTTGGAATTGGGCCTTTGGGCCTTGCCAGCTCGGGCCTTCGGCCCGTTGAGCTTTAAACCCAAAACCCTTTAACCCTGGACTAGGCTTTCAAGCCCAAGCCCAGTTGTACCAACCCATTGGACCCAAACCCCAAGACCCTTGGGTTGGGCTACCAACCCACTGACCCAAGCCCAAGAACCAAACCCAAGCCCAGACCCAGATCCTAAGAACCCAGACCGCACATGGGCCTGCGTGTGAACACAAGTGAAGGGCTGCCAGTGCCGGCGCGTGGAGCACACGCACCACTATCCATAGCGGCGCCGGAGACTTTTCTGGCCAACTTTCTGGCGACTTTTCCCGGTGTGCTGCAGCGCGTGTGGGTACCAAAGATCTCCCTTTACGTTTTTCGACGTCCTGAATCCGTTTTTGACGTCTGTTTTTTGAAATTCAATCATTATGATAGAGTTTTATTAATTGGACCCTTTATGTGCTTAGGTGTGTTTATTAGGGGCGATTTTGTTCTTCCCATTTCGCACGGCTCTTCGACGACGAAGTATCTGTGAGTTGACCGCTTCTAAAATGCATGTTTTAATAGTAGAAATGCACACATGAAAAGCATGATTTAATGGTTACGTTTTATGAGTAAACTAGATTTACACTTTATGATTATCATGTTTTACCAAGAATATTTTGGAATACCATACTTTATCAAATTTATGTCCTTTGTAGTATATAGGATGGATGACTATATACTATTTATGAACATGTTTTTACACTTCTTTGTAGCATATATGGGCCTTCGGCCGAAAGATATTTATATTAGCCTACGGGTCGGGTGATGTATGGGCCTATGGGTCGTATGATACTTATATTGGCCTACGGGTCGGAATATATTTATATTGGCCTACGGGTCAGGTGATGTAAGGGCCTAGGAGTCGTATGATACTTATATTAGCCTACGGGTCGAGTAATGTAGGGGCCTACGGGACGATTATGATACCACTAGTTAGCACATTATATACAATATATGTTTTATGAAAGGTTTTATGGCATGCTAGGGTTTTCAGAAAAACCTATTACATATTATACTATTGATTTTCCATAAAACTTTGGGGGTTAGTACGTTGAATAACTGTTTCAGTATTATGTATATATCAACTTGGTCGATTCATGTTTGTTTTGCGCCCCCTCAGGACTTAGATTCAAGACGTACAAAAACGGCGTCAAGGCATTTCCACATCAGCGTCTTTAAGTCCTCTCGGTGTAGGACCCATTCCTTTGCTCATTCAATTTTATATTATTTCTTTTTAGTGTTCTAGTTAGTTGTATGTTCTGAACAAGTTCCTAAGTTGCATACTCATTATATTTAAATTTATAAGTCTTATTTATATTCATTGGTTCTCATGCATATTAGTATGGCTTCGTCACCTTCGGGTGTCGGCTAGCACGTGCCTACCCTGGTGTTCAGGGAATATCAAGGCCAGGCGTGTCATCACATATCTACATCACAGCAACCAGCCGACATCTTCACAAAGTCATTAAGCTCTACGCAATTCACTACTTTACTTGGCAAATTAGGAATCATTGACATACATTCCAACTTGAGGGGGAGTGTTAAGGAAAGTAAAATCAGTTGATTCTCTATTATGGTAATTTCCTTGTATCATGGAAAGTCAACTAATATTGATTCACCTTCCATTCTGTACAAATACGTAAACTACGAAACAATTTGTATAGGCTTTAATTTAGGATTGTGCGTAGTCTTTGTATTGCATAAAACTCCCATGTAACAATCCAATTAATCATATTCAGCTAAAATCAAAATTTTCAACAAACTTGAGATTGGGATTTGATGCTTGAATCTCATTTCTAACAAATTCAAATCTTCCAATCGTTTGCTACTTAGTACTACGGTTTAGTGGTATTCCTCTGCATATGTAAGTGAGAGGTCTTAGGTTCGATTATCACCAAAGGCAAGATAAATCATCCATGAAAATGACATAATAATGATAACTAGAAACGGAATCAACAATTGACATCCACACATCAGAATGAACAATGAAAAAAAGGAATAGACAACGAAGCAAGAGCTTTAGGAGATGAAAACGAAAATAGATATAGTCCATCTCTACATAGGCCCTGAAGAAATATACAATAAAAGGAAGGACGAAAAAAATGGCAACGTTATTATCATATGTAAACCTATCTATAAAAGAAATTTTTACGTAATGAAAGAGCAAGAAAGACACTACGAAGAAAAAATTGGAATTGTACCAGTGGAAGTTATGTCAAGAGTATCACCATTACCCAATTCAACTGAGTTGTGACCGTGATAGTGGTGTGGATGTTAAAAGAGCATTTGCATCCCCGATCATAGGATGTGCGGCGCTAAATAGGAATGATACTATGTAAAAAACCTAAAACAGGTAAACCGGATTGTTAGAAGCCTTAGCTATCCTTCATTCATTCAATCGTATAAGTACATTTGATTACAGAGTCCTATTGGGATACAAAGTTTTCCCATCTATATCTCAAATACAAGATAACATATTTCACTAACATTGGATTTGTTCACTAGACTAACGGAATGGCTTTTGATAAGGACTCTTGTTTATTTTGTCCATTTTTTATTAATTAAGTTAGACTAATAACATTCCAGATAGTCGGTCATGACATTTCTTCTTCCGCACGTTCAGCTCTGCCACTATGAAGTTCCTTCTAGCCCCTTATGCCCTTTTGCATTTTGGTGGTGACTGTCGTCCAAGTTTACACGCCACTGTGATCGTCGCAAACTTCCAAAATAAATATTTTTCTTTATTCAAAACGCTTAATGTATTTTCAATAAAGCTGACTTCTTTTTTTTGTTTTCAAGCTAGACAAAACAAGTCACATGGCAATAAATTTGTGTTGTATAAACGTCGTTCATTTTCGGAGTGATTTTTAAATGTCGGTAAATATCCATTGCCAAATTACCCACAAAAAAAAAAATTTGCCACGGAAAGATGCAGTGGCCACTAGCTGTGAGATTGAGATCGACGAAAGAAACTAATACGTTCCCATTTGAAATAAGTGATCCTTTCTTAGCTGACCCGCCATGTGCTCCTGCATGCAATCGCTGCCACCTCCATTTACCGTAATTTTGTTTAATTGTTTATGTGTTTGGTGTTTTTTATATCCGAATTTGCATGCATTTACGAACCATACCACAACGAGACCCCGCGTGTAGACCAATATACATTAATTGATGTGGTTGATTATTAAGTTTTGTTTATTTCTATTTTTTCAAAAATAGATCAGTCGGTCGTTTCGTCATGGTAATCCATTTTTTCGAAGATCGAGAAGGCTCGCTGAAGTATTTCAATTTCTCTCTAACCATCATCGTATGATTCATTAAAAGTAGAAATTAAACTTAAAACATACCGTATGAAATACGAATCTAAAATTTATCATCAATTACCGGATCATCCCGTAGTGGTTGGTTAAATATTAGTTCAAGACGGTCCAAGACTCCAAGTGCGTACGCGATGGGGTAACATATGTTTCCAATAATTGCCACAGCCATTGCCATGTGTCCGCGGAAGAGACATGGGACAGAGCCAAACAATAGTTGAAGGCAAGTGCATGGACTTTTTTATTTAATGGATGGATCGAGCATGGGCCCATGCATCTTCTCCGGTCCATTTCATTCATCGTCCACACCCTACTTTTGGACACTTTCCATGTTTTTGTGCAGAGATAATCGTAGTTGTTGAACTTCAATTTCCTTTTCGTCGACTTTGAATAATAATGTTGTGGAGTCCACTTGGCCATTTGGAAGGTGGATGGTATTCAAATATGGGGTCCAAAATGTTTGAACAAATTAATGTCTATCTCTCAAATTTTATCTTTGTTACATTTTATTGTGAATTTCACGAACGCAACGAATTAAAAACTTTAAACCTATTTAGTTTGTTAAAATAAAAAATGTAGGGTTCATTGGTAACAATTTTTATTTTTTGTGCTCGCTATAGGAGACGAGTATATAGAAGAAGGAATCAAGAAGACTGGGAAAGAGGGGAAAAAGTAAGAAAACGGATGAAAAAAAAACTAGTCAAAATAGTTTTTGGTTTTCTATTTTGTGGCCTTACATATACATTTCTTCATCTCTTCAGCCAACCTTTTGTTGCTCTTCTTCATCTAATTTTTTTTTTTTTTTTTTCCTCTCTGTCACTAACACAAAAAATAAAAACTAAAAACTAAAACCGAAATGATTATTAAATGAATTCATAAATTGTTTATATATGAGCATCAAACTCAATTTTAACCAAATAATGGAAATCTTGATGACCTTATAAAATTGTGGCGAGCTTGACACGGCGGGATTTATATATATTGCTTTGGTTAGGTTTCTAATTTATGAATAAAAATGGTTCTATGTTTAGATTTTTGCCGTCTTGAAGTTTGCATCTCACGCACGCAACCAGCCGACGACCATTGACTAATAATTTATCAAATATGTTAATGTATAAGTTCCTTTTTCGAAGGTTTCAAATCTTGTTACGAAATGTGGTTCGTTAGTTGATACACATTTTTAGTGGAAGTCAACATATGTTTAATGTAAATGTAATTTAGTCAATATATATACATATATATATATGGAATGATTGATGTTAGACTGGAGAGCCAGAAGTGCTTATTGGGTGCCGCCAGCATTGAACAAGCATATTCCAATGGCATCACACCAAGCCTAGCAAGCTAGGGTCCAATTTCATAGCATGATCCTGTTTTCGTTTTTTTTTCTTCTGCTAATATACGGTTTTAATCGACAGTCGAATTTGAGACGCTTTAACTTTTCGTTATTTTGCAAAGTCAAAAATTACAAAATAACCGATTAATTAAATATGTACGTCTTGAGCAATGCTACAGATTAACTATTTAGACCAAATATCATAAATCATATGATGTGATTATTAACGATTGAATTATTACTTATGTATTGATTAACGTGTTTATTTTTTATTGATGACACATCACATAATTTACAAATTTAATCTAAAAAACTGGCCTCCTTACCATTACTCACTCGACTTAGCTTCTTTTTATTTATGAGAACTTTAACGAAAAACTCCTGATACTATTTATTTTAACGAAAACCATATTTTTACACTAAAAAGTCAATCCTGGTACTATTCACTTTACTCTTTATTTTGTCCATATTTTTAAAACTCAAAGTTTTAAAATTATTTTCATTAGTTTTATTTATTTATTTATTTATTGGTGTTTTGTATTTTTACATACAAAAGGCAATGACAGATAATCCCACCTCCTATGTATACATGTCATTCTGATTCATACGCATACATCAATTTTGCCAACCCATTAAATGTAAAGCTATCCTTGCAGTTGCAGAGTCCAACCCTACCCAAATCCTGACATAGATACACACACACACACACACACATTGATCAGGTTATAAGACCAACCACACACGAAAAAAATATCAAGATCAAGATGGAGAACCACCACCAAAAAGCTACCAATGGTTTCTCCAAACCAACCGGTTACAGTACAGCCGGAAAGGTCATCACTTGCAAAGGTAATGGATTCATTTTGTAAAAGAAATATTCATATTTTCTCGTTCTTTTATGTCCATTTTATAGAACACTAAAACTTACATGTGTTTGTGGTGGTGAAGCTGCTGTTGTATGGGTTCCAGGAGAACCTTTTGTCATGGAACAAGTTCAAGTCGATCCACCTCAAAAATTGGAGGTTCGAATCAAGATCCTCTTCACCTCAATCTGCCACACTGATCTTAGTGCTTGGAAAGGAGATGTATGTATATATAATATATAAATATGTCGCTAAATCGATACACACACACACACACACTAGTATATTTAAGCTAATCTTTCTTGTTATTTTTTATAGAATGAAGCTCAACGAGCCTTTCCTCGAATATTAGGCCATGAAGCTTCCGGGTAGGTCATGTCTAACAAAAATTTACAGTACATATAACGCTGACCTTATAGATAACAATATCAACTAAATATCGATCAAAATATCAATCAAACTATTAGTCTTACCCTTTTTAGAATTAAACCCCTCAAGTTAATCTATTTCTATTTGTTGGGAAATGAACAGAATTGTTGAGAGTGTGGGTGAAGGTGTGATGGACATAAAAGAAGGGGACCATGTGGTACCAATTTTCAACGGAGAGTGTGGCGAGTGCAAGTGTTGCAAGTCTGAGAAAACCAATATTTGCAGTAATTCTGGAGTGAACGGATTTAAGAAGGTGATGACTAACGATGGAAAAAGTAGGTTTTCGACCAAAGATGGAAAGGCAATCTACCATTTTCTCAACACTTCAACTTTCAGTGAGTATACAGTGCTTGAATCTGCTTGTGTTGTCAAGATCGACCGTGAGGCTCCTATGAAGAAGATGACCCTGCTAAGTTGTGGTGTTTCAACTGGTAAGTCATGCATCAAATGTGTTGAATCAGTCAGTGCATGCTTTTGACCAAAAAAAAAAAATCAGTGTACGTGTTTATTCTTTTTGGTTATAATTTATAATAATCTGGGGGTCTATTTTAAGATCAACTTGTCCCTTGCCATCAACCACACGTTACATTCTACTTTGAGATTTTTGTTTAGAAAAAAAGCTAAAGAGACCAAATAAATTAAATTTTGTAAACCAAATTATATACGGTTATTAATTATTAGATTATTATTTAAGTATTGATTAACTTACTTATTTTCTATTGATGACACATCATTTAATTTGCAAATTTAATTTATAAATTTGATATTCCTAACATTATTCTTTTCTTTTTTTTTTTCATGTGTGATCTCAAATTCAGGTCTTTGGTCAATCATACGTATATGACTTTTTTTTTTGTCATGGCACCACAAATAGCAATTTCTTATTAGCGTCATGTGAAGATAAATTTGTGTATAGTTAGGTTAGTTTTGTTGGTTTTTTGCACCCAATTTTGATGTGGCGGCTATAATTGGATTCATCCTCTTTTTTAGGGATTAAGTAATGTTAGGGAAACTCAATTTGGAGACTCAATTTTGGAAACTAAAGAACATAGAAGTTGATTATTGGTTTATTAGTTAAGCGTTGATGGATGTGTTCATTTATATTGGTGATAGATCATTTAGTTTGTAATTTGAGTTTCCAAATTTAATCTCTCTAGCATTACTCTTCGGGATTTCATATATCTTATTAAAATGAGATGCTATAATAATAGTGTACTTTGTGACATATGAGTAATTCTCAAACATCAAGAGAGCCATTAAAATAATTTTGAACGAAGGATGGTGTTATTGTAAAAAACAATATAAAAAAATCTATCAACTTGAAACATTAATGTTTTGTTAATTTTATTTACAAACGAATATTGAAGTACTTATTTGAAAATAATGTCCCTTTTAATCTTATTATTTTTATGGGGACTAGTAGGGATCTCATTATGAGTAACCATCACCTTAAAATCAAGAATTTACCATCTATTTTTTTCTTTAAAATATCTTTACAATGAATGGTCATAATCCTCCTTATCAAACGAGACCTTATAATGTTAATAATAGCTCACGCTTTATTTAGGTATTTAATCTTTTATTAAATATTATATTTCCATGAAATATGATATAGGAGTCGGTGCTGCATGGAATACTGCTAATGTGCAACCTGCCTCAACTGTCGCCATTTTCGGTTTAGGATCCGTGGGACTTGCTGTGAGTTTCTTGACCTTTTTGTTGAGTTGCCGAGAGTTTGCTTAATGATGATTTTTTAGGTGTAGTAAATACACTTTTTTCACTTTAAAAAGAAGGAAATGTGAAGTCAAGTTCTCAGATTAGTTGTATGTTCACCAGTTATTTTTCAACATACACGATTCACCAGGTATTGACTTGTACAAAATATATCGATGCTTAACCCAATATTTACTACTAAATCAACACGAATGTGAACTTAAACTATATTTGAATTATTTTGCTTTATAATATTTAATTTAATTGTTCCTTAATTTCATGCTCAACTGGGGTTTCTTAATCCCCAAATTACTCAACTAAATGTGGCTTGCAATCTGGATCAGGTCGCTGAAGGAGCAAGAGTCAGAGGAGCATCTAAAATTATTGGTGTTGACATTAACCCCGATAAATTCATCAAAGGTTCTAGTTTATATTTAATCTAACGTCTAATTGTAATTAGTTTTTAATTAGCACTTATCTTTGGTTTCTAACTGAATGTTTAATCGTTATCTCGTGGGAGTCACGTACTTTATATACATTAATTTTTCGCGTGAACTTTATAGGTCAAGAAATGGGAGTCACAAATTTCATAAACCCAACCGAACCTGGAAAGCCAGTGCATGAGGTCAGTACTTTTACATTAATGTATACACCTAAGTTCCCAACTAGAAAATTGGGGGAAACTAGAAAATTGGCGACGTTGTCATAATTGTTGATGTCATGATGCAATGCTATTACGTTATTCTATTAATGAACACGGAACGCAATATAATTATATGAGGCATGCAATCATATTAAAGAATGCTAGCGCCACACGCTTATTCAATGTCAATAATCGCAAGATAAATATCTACTAGCATATTCCACGACATACTTACTATCTTACAAGATCATGATTTGTGTAACGATAGAAAATTTCATTTTATTGACATGGTTGCAGAGGATAAGAGAAATTACGGATGGAGGGGTGGACTATAGCTTTGAGTGTGTAGGCAACTTGGATGTTCTTCGGGAGGCCTTTCTGTCCACACATGAGGTACTTAATAACTACTCTATATTCTATATGTTTTTCAATTTCTTTTAAACAGTAGTATGATATAATGTTCTCTTACTTATTGCAGGGTTGGGGGTTTACTGTGATACTGGGAATTCATGCAGCCCCAACAACGCTCCCTTTCCATCCAATGGAGTTGTTTAATGGTCGAGGAATTATTGGGTCTGTGTTTGGAGGCTTCAAAGGGAAGTCCCAACTCCCTCATTTCGCTATACAGTGCATGCGTGGGGTTAGTCGAATTCCACTAATCTCAACCTCTTTTAGTTCAATGTCCAACAACATCAAATGTTTATGTCGACTATGAAATAAAACCATGTTCAATAAGATATTCTTGTCCGAATGTGTGGTTCAAATTTACAGTCTGACGTCATAAACATATGTATCACGAGATAACGTTATCCGTAGTAATTAATTTCCATATCTAAACAAGTTTTGTTGATTTTGTGCTTTTCAGGTTGTAGGTTTGGACAAGTTCATAACGCATGAGCTTCCATTTGAGAAGATAAACGATGCCTTTCAGTTGCTCATTGAAGGCAAGTCATTGAGATGCGTTTTGCAACTCTGAGTTAGCCATTGATGCTCTGCAAGCAGACGTTAATACGATTTTCTTACCTTTTTCTTTACCTTCTCGTTGTGATGTATTTGACGAGTTATTCTAATTGTGTGGTTGTATTATTATGTTGGCTTTGCACATCTCTCTTTACTTCTGGCCATCAAATCGAATAAATCAAACAACAATAACCAATTATAGAACTAAAAAGGGTATTATGCAGAGAAAAAGAATATGTAATTATCACTTTCCTTATCCTTCATTAAAAAATATATATATTATAAAAATTGAAGAGGATAAAATAGCTCATGGACCCTGTATTATTGCACAAATTTTTAAATATTCTCACTAGTATCATTAGTTGGTTGGCAGGTGGACTAAATTACTTTAGGTCTTAAAATAAACCCTTACTTTTTCTTCCTAATCTGTCTAATCTTTTTTCAAAGGCAACACAATAGCCTCGACGTACCATGGGGTGTGGAGTAACTACCAAGTTTTCAAATAAAATCCCTATACAGCACTTACTGTTTCCTTATCATTAAGTTTATTTTCCAAAGACGACGACAATAGCCTCTGCCTACAATTTGGCGTTCAGAAAAATGATTTCTGTACATCTTTTTTCTTTTGCTCCACCTTACTAATTTGGACCTTTTAATTCTCCTTTAGTTATTTGATTCAAAGATCGAAAATAAACCTGTGTATGAATTCATGAGAGATAATAAAGTGTGCAAAAATAACTCCTCAGGAGGCAATAGAATCTTTCTTTCCCTTTGCCTCTCCACAATTACATTTCAGTCCCCTCGTTGCATCCAAAGAACAGTAATACAATTCACAAATTTTATCTGAACCCATCTAACCTCCTTCTATACCCAACTTATTATATTCACTCATATTGTTTTTTTTATTAAAGAATTAATCTCTCTTTAAACCCAAATTTATTACCTAAATTATCATCTCAAACCCAATTCAAAATGTAAAAATATATTTACACTCATTCCCTTTATAAAATAACATCTCTAATTGAATGTTTTTTTTTCTTTCAAAGAGGCGTCCTTTGCCCCTCTATAATTGCATATGCCGTATAGGACTAGCATTTTCATGGCTACTTTTTTTCTTTCTGCTACCACAACCCATCCATGGACTTGGGATCCAAGAGATCATTCCATAGACCTGAATTTGCCAAGAGAATGTTATGCAAGCTCCAATTTAGTCCTTTTTAAATTGAGCATTTTCATGTACTTTTTAAGAAACTTTAAAGTGACATAGGGATGGGTGTTTTGCTGCTACGTTAATAAACACATAAACAAATTGGAGCTATTTCGAATAAAAAAGGTGCAAGACATGCCACCTGCTAGTTCGTGGTTAAGGTTGAGCAATATTTATTTGCACCAAGAATCAAGTTTTATGTCTTTACAATACTAATCAAAAGTCATTGCACTGGTGTTTTGGGGCGCATACAGACGGCAGAGAAAAACAAATACAATATAATATAAAAAGTACGAAATTTAATCCAAAGAAGCAAACAAACAAAATATCCATAAATTGAGTCATACCTTAGTTGGAGAATTGAAAACTTCAAAATCACCATCCATCAATAAAAAAAACTTATTTTTCTCTATCAGAGTTATTAGGATTTTAGTCGGAATGAAAGTAAGATAAACAAAGGGTAATGCTAGGGTTTAATTATAGTTTGAGGGTGTTTTGATAAATTTGATTTTCATTACTAATTTCATTTTGTACTTAATAGTAATTATGCAATAGGATAAAATAGACAACTAATATTTAAAATTAAGTTAGGTGTAGAAAGATGTTAGATGCATTTAAACAAAAATTCCCTAAATACTGTGTTTTCAGACCGAAAAGGAAGCATTGCTGATATTGCCTCAAGACAGAACAAAATATGGGGTAGAATCCTCATTCCTCCAACACATCCAGTAAAATGCGGCAGTCCGGGCGTGCCTCGTGTGTGCTCGCAAGCGTAAGCATTCGTGTATGTACGCAACACAGAGAGGGAGTAATCCATGAAATATGAACAGATTCAATCCAGGCATCCATTAACAAAAGGACCACATTTCATTGAACTTACAAAGGGCTGTTAAAAGGGGGGGTCTTCATGTGTCGTCAAGAACTACTTTGCAACGCTTAGTCCAAGGACCGGACCAAACCAAAAGGAATAATACATCGAATCGTCATTTAAGCCTCAAGGTTTTTTTTTGTCCAACTCTATAGTCCAGGACATCATAATAAACCTCTAAAGAGAACAAAAGATCAAAGGCCAAGAAAGCCGAGGACAAGTATGCGACAAAACGCAACGATCAGAGAGGCACGGAGAACATCTTTACATAGTTGTATGTGTATTTAAATATATTTCAGCTGGATACTTAAATCAGTCTGGGATGCCGAAGATTACTCAATGTATGGGAAGGCGAGGAGCGCGTGGACGAACAGGTGTCTTTGAAGGACTTACCCTGCTTGTACAAGACGCCATATATTAATATACCAAAATGAAGCTTATCTCGAAATTATATAACTCAAAGGGGTAGGAAAAACAAAGAAAACTCCAGTCGGAATATAGATCAAAAAGCATGCAATGGCTGGACGAGTGGAATGAGGGAAAGCGGCTTAACCTGATTGGCAATGATCCCAAAACCACACCACTACAGTTGAGAGCAGCAATTGCACTTTCAGCCTGCAGGAATGGAAGTACATTACAATTAGACTTTTATGAATTGCAGCATTGAATCTGGAGTTCTATTTTTTATGTGTATGACTAGGTAGGTGGACATCAAGTTTACGGAACTCAATTTGCAATCCAACTTCATCACTGACGTATCTTTGCAGGCTTTCTGGAGAACATGCATGCTATGGGTTACACACATGATTCAAGCCACTTAACAAATCTTTTGATTTACTTCTACTCATCTGTTGCCATAGAAATCAGGAAGTGTGCCTAAGAAATGCATGTTTCCAACGTCCTTACATGCTCTCGTGCCCCTAAATTTCACAACCACTAAAATATTCCCAGCATGCATACATCAACACTCAAGCAATACAAATCCTACCTTACCCATACCTTCTGTCCCGAAAAACCTAACATAAACTTTAGCATCACCCGACAGAGATTTTCCCAGAGGAGAAACACAGAAACTTGGGTTTTGTTGAGTTGTTTCTGACAGTGGAGCTGAAAGGCATCAACTGCTTCAACATCACAGTTGGACATTAACGCCAACAAAAATAAACCGTTTGGAAACACCACCACTCTCCAAATATACTCTCTTAAGCAGCAACCAAGCTTCTCAGTACATTCCACAATGCACAAAAAATTTAATCTCTAAGAATATGAAACATAACTAAATTGACAAGACCTAAAAAGTCTTCCCTCCAATAAGCTGGATATCACAAGATAGGTACTGCAGAAATAAGCTTACTACATAATAAACACATGGGCTGGAGAGGGCATGCAAGAACAACGTTGTATGACTACGGCAAAACGTTGTTTGACAATGGCAAAAAAGGATGGTAAAAGCAACAATAGGAAAATAAGATACACTTGTCAAAACCAAAAACAGGACCTAAGAATCAGGGGGAAGGAGAAGGAGCCACGCTTAATAAGTGACCACCTCACAAACAAAGGTACGAGCACAGGAGAAGATCTATGAGACATGGTCAGCAACCACTGCTCAGACAATGGTACTGTTTAAAATTTCTGGCAGTTTACCACATGACGTCTCTGATTTCAAATCTGACCCATTCCAAGAAAATCAAGATCCTGTATATTCTCAGCCCCAAAAAGCAAAAAAATCTAATAAATTCATTTCCACTTTTAACATAATTCATCTCCTTTTATACCCAGACATACAGATAATGCCAAGGAAACTTACGAGTTTTAAGTTCTTCGGATACAATTTTTCATTTCTTCATTCAACATACCTTGAAACTAGTGGGTTATCTATTTCAAACCAATCCTAGACACCCAACGAGTTTTTAAGTTCTTCGGATGCATAAACTATTGTTTACAATCACCAACTAACCTTCCATGAACCATATACTTGGCCTTTACTAAACTAAAGACCTCAAAATATCCTATCAAATGATTTCATGACAGAAAGGATAGAGACGAATGAACTTCAACGCACAACACAGATTTTCAAAGAATATTCTCCCTCTATCAGAGTACTACAGCCCCATTCCTTCTAATCATTTATCTTATCCCTTTAAGTAGCAAATGATTTCTTAAATAGCAAATGCTTTGCATCATTTAGAAACATTAGTCACACTTGTAAAGTGAAAATCAGAGATGCATTCAAGGGTTGAATACTAATCTGGAAAAATAAGAGAGTTCCATGTATTACTACATAATCCACGTTTATACCGAGCTTGTCGTCATGGCTTAAAAATAAACCAAATAACGATAAGGAAAATAATAAAACAGCATGCAAAGTGTAGAGGAATAAGCAATTACCATCACAAACTCAACAAAGGCAATGCGAGTAGAGTGGTGATAGTCCCCTAGTAACCTCAAACGATAAACCTGCATCAGATTCATAAGAGATGTCCTCATGAATAGTCCAATACATTAGAGTGTAAACGACATAATAGCATTGTTGCCCAAAAATGAAATGTAAAATACAAACTTCCAATGAAATCACAAACCTCTCCACAGACAGATTCAAAAAAGAGTTTGACATCAGCTTGAGTAACCTGCACAAATACAGCCATGTAAAATTTTAGAATTCACAACCTGGGCCACATCAATGACAAAAAATTCCAAGAAACTTACCTTTTTGTCAATATTTGTACAATAGATAGTTCTTGCACACATCTCACGTTCGTCTTCAGTCTGAAACCAAAATACAAATGGATAAACAAGTTACCATGCAAGAACATATTGATTCCAAAAGGCCAAAACTTTCTCTGGTACAGAATTTTGCAACTGCCACAAAAGAGTAGACTCACCCGGGGCAAGAATGTGGGGTTAACAGGCGCAATAGCTGTCTTAGAGGGCAACACCCTAACGGGGTAGAATCCAAGCATTGTCCCAGCCAGACTCAAAGCAGCTCGTGCACCATCTGCATAATGAAAAACCACAACCAATCAGTATCATAAATCATAAAAACATCTATTCAAGCTTATGCAGCCACATGATCTCCGCATACACCATCTAAATTACCTTCGTCAGTGAACTCAATAAAGGCAAAACGGAGAACAGAATTAGGATCACCACAAATTCGGCAGTCAACAACCTTCAGCAACAGAAAAGTGAAATTATTCAAAACCAGAATTTACAATCAACCAATTACAGAGCTCTTCGAACGAAGATCATTACCTGCCCACAAGTAACAAAGAGAGCTGCAAGCTGTTCCTCAGTGACCTATGTCCCAAAAAGACCAGAACTTTAGTCTCACATGCACCAAAATTGAAAATGCTAATCACAAACCAAAGGAAATAAATGTGGTCATTTGTACCTGTTGATCAATGTCAGACACGTACACAGTCCTTCGGATTCTATCTTCCCGTTGCGCTAGACTAGTTCTGCTGTTGATTCTCCGTTTCCCTTGATTGTTTCTCTGATAAAAAAACAAACAGGAAAGCAAAATAGAAACACCCATTAAATTTAGTTCCCTAATTCTTCTCCAAAAACTTAACCAACACAAAATACCAAACAATACACAATTTTCCCATTCATTTTCTCAGCAGCCAAACAAATAATAAAAAAAGGAAAGAACCCAGAAAAGCTGAAGTCTTATACATACCCGTCGACCAGGAAAGCCATTAGCTTGTCCAATTCTGTTCCTGTTCTGCATCATCAGTGCCATGTTAACAAACCCAGCATTGAGTCCATGGCCGTTAGCCAGTGAAGGCGGCACGAACTCCTCCGCCATGGGGTTGAGCTTCGAGAAGAGCTCCCTCAGCTCCCTCATATCCCGGTCCACGTCGTGACGATGATCCCCATTACTCATCTGAAAATCTCCGCCGTTAGATCTCTGCTGCTGATGATGATGATTCGCCACGTGATCAAAGCAACCCAACTGAGCCGCCACCACCTGGCCGTTGCCGTTGATGTTGCCGTTTCCACTAGGGGGCGGCGTGACCATCACGTACATGCTCTGATCGATGCGGTGCCGTAAAGGGGCAGCGGAGGCGCTGTTAAGCTTGGACTGATCCTGATCGTTGGATGCGGCAACAACACCGCCGTCCTGCGTCGTAGCAGTCTCCGGGTTCCGATTCGCCGAGTTCGACCCCACGCTCTTCCCAAGCTCCACCCCTGCATTCTCAACCACGGCCATAGCTCTCTCTCTCCTTTCCTGTCTCTCTCTCTCTCTTCTCCCTTTTTCTGAAATGGGTATTTTAAATAAGTAATTAAAAATTAATTCTTTGATGGGTCGATCAACAGCCAGACAGAGCCTAAGAACAATCGCGCCTCGAGATCACTACTACGGAGAAAACGAAATGAAAACAGTTTTTAAAAACAACCCAAATATTATAAAAACGACTCAGAAATTCGGGCAGTGATTTTTGGGGGGTTTTTGTTTTTATCTCTCTGCGAGCTGTTTTTTTTTTATCAGTGAAGAAGGAGAGTGACGAACCGAAAAAGGAGGTTCCTTTTCGGATTGGATTGGATCAAACCTCTCTCTCTCTCTCTCTCTCTCTCTCTCTCTCTGAGTTGTGAAGATCGTCTTCAATTCCAATACGACATCGTCTTAGGAGGCTCTTCAACTCAGATTCTGCTGTTCCTCCTCTCTCTCTCTCTCTCTCTCTCTCTTCCCCCCCATTGTCAAATGTACTGCCTCTTTGTTTGATCGTCTGTCATGCATACATGCATGCATACGCATCCGCATGATGGTGATGGTGATGATGATGATCATGGGATGTAGCGCAGTGGTATATGGACACGTGGCGGGGTGGGACTGGAGGTTTAGGAGGAAGGGCAGGCGATTGATTGTGTGGGATCATTTTATTGAAGGCCTTCATTTTTGACCTTTCCGTACTATTTGGATTTTTACAGTAGCGGGAACAGCAGGGGCTTTTGTGTTATTTTGCATTATCAAATTCAAGGGAGTAATTTGATCGATTTTTTTTTTTTTTCCAACAAAATTATCACGTGAGGCATATGTTAGGTAAATTGGACTTTTTTTGACAAATTGATTTGGGATTGTGGTACTTTAAAAAAAAAACAGTATATTAAAAAATCTGAAACATTAAATGTGTTTGGTAAAATAAATAAAAAAAATGTTTTTTTTAACTGTTGTCAATGAAATTAAAAAAGCATATAAAAGTAAAAGTAGGATCTATCAAACATTTAACAACTTTATTTTATAATTGTTTATTTTCACAACACATTGAAAGCAGTTTTTTTTTTTATTATTTTAAACACAGCAATACAAAACTAGCCCTACATGTGGGTCTCTCAATTATATAGAGTGGTACTGTACACACCCAAAGTCTTATTTTCTCACACCACAAAATGTTTACAAAAATCAAACAATCTCTTCTCACCCATTTATATTCCTAGATATCCCTAACAGTTTTAAGGTTTAAATAAAATAAATATAAAAAATGATTGAATCGTGGAGATTTTAGGGAAAATAGAACATCAACAAATGTTCCCGCCTAATCCAGTTGAAAGTAACCACAACCAAGCACCATATACAACGACGGTAACTCCTTAACTCTTTGTCCCTGGGAAAGTCACCTTCCTTTATTCCTATTTGTCTCTTTCTTTCTCCCCCTACCAAATTTGGATTTAAGATTCATATCCATATTTATTTTCGAATTCCAATTCATAATTAAGGATTGAAAAGTCGAGAAAAAAAATAAGAGATTGAATTTGGGGTGGGTGGGGTGGACGGAAGTGATAAAAGATGGAGAGGGAGGAAATAATCAGAAATAGTGAGGGATTAAGAGATAAAATGAGGAGATTTGATTCGTTTCTCATTTTAAGTTTTTAATTTTTTTTTATTACAAAAAATATATAAATGGATTAATTTTTAACAGGGCTTTTGATGTCTTTTTTAATTAATTGAGATTCACTCGTTAATTTCCGTAGAATTCTTTGATGTGCTTTCAGTTATTAAATTCATACTTAACAATTTATATCATACATCGATGTAAAACACCTCTCATGCAGCCATACCTTGCAAATTCGTTAAAATTTTGACAAAATTAAAGAATTATCCTTCAACCGGAACAATTTAAAATTGTAAAATAATAATAATAAATTGTACGTTCAAAGTGAAAATTTATTGATAAGAATTTTCATTTCTAATTGCTGTTAATGTTTTATTTCATTTACCCTATACTGATAGAACAAATTTACCTCGCAATGAAAAAAATAAAGATAGTATTATTCACATTCTTATTTTTATCTCTCATATATTTTTATTAATTTTTTATTCTTGATCTTCTTTAATTCATTTGATCTAACGATTAAATATTGAGGAAAATATGTAAAATTAAAAATCAACGTGTGAATATTCCTATCCAAAATAAAGGATGTATGGCCTCCAATTTGACTTTTGGGCATGAGAGGGTTCGAATATTAAAATGTAGGTGGAACCTTCAATAATACATATAGAAGAATATGCTCCCATGATGATATGAATATTGGTACTTCAGTGTACATTTGTACATTTTTTATGTGTCCAAATTTTTAATTTTAATTTTTTCCTACTTTGTGGTTAGCAGACGGTCAAAATTAATAATTTGTTCTTATTTTTTGTTTAAAAAAATAATTTGTTCTTATTTCTATTGGGGCGTGACAGATGATTTTTTTAGTCATTATTGCAGCATCCATGGGCGATTGGTTTCAAAGGAAAGATTAAATTTTGTAGTAAAGCAAATGATGGTTTTGAAGACAATAACAAATGACAATTAACTATGGTACATAAATAAATATTTTAAATATAGTTTTGAAGACAGCTTAATTATTTAATCTACTAACGTTATTGTTTGTAAAAAAAAAAAATTATTATTAGCACATGTGGTTGCAGGAAGATAAAAAAATAGTAAAAAAAAATTGTGCGAAATTATCACTAGCCCATGATTTTTCTTTTTTGATACTTTTTATTGAATTATGAATAGAAGACCAAATCGTCTTTTCATCATTTTTTTGTTGACAGAGAATTCTCTCTTACTATAGTAAAGAGAGAAATCCAACCACTAAGTTTGCTTCTTATGACATTGTTGCTGCAACGATGTGAATGGCCAAGTATTTTTTTTTTTTTAAACGAGACTCATATATTATACTTAATAATTGAACTCACTCAAATTATGTGACATCCCGTCCCGGAGTTATCGGAACCGTACGCGTGAAATTACCATTTTACCCCTAGTTACTTTGTTATGTTGTTTGGTTGTTTGTGTCGTGTTGGCAAACTTTGGGCCACACACACACACACACACTGTCTCACTCACCCTCACCCTCTGTCTCTGTCTCTGTCACTCTCTCCCTCCCGTGTCTCTCTCTCCCCCTTCTTCTTCACCATATACGTACGGACATACACACACACACCCTAAAACGTCACAGATCGAGGGATCCAAGGCTACCATTGAACTCGTGGAGCTGAGAGGAGTCTAGTGGTGCCATTTTCAGGTAAGAATCTCGACGTTTTCACGTCGATTTCACAAGGTCCGTTTTGGGTTACTATTCATGCAAACCTAATCTAGGATGTTTTTGGACATTTTAAGCTTGTAGTTGTGTTAGTGAGGCCTCAAGGAGCTTGGGAATGCTTCGTTGGGTGAATTTGGACGTCGGGAAGGCTTAGTTCCAAAGTTGGCCGAACTTAGATCGTTGTTGCAGGTGAGATTCCTTGATTTTTAGGCCTTAAAAGTAGTCTAACGTGATTCTACTAGTCCTAAGCTTCATTTTGGTATAAAGAACGTGAAAAATGGTTGAAAAACGAGGGAGAAAACAAAGTTTGAAAAATTTCCAGTTTTCCGGCGACGGCGGCGGCGCAGACGGCGGCGGCTCGCCGGAGAGGACAGGGGAATATTCCGTTAAGTTTTAACGGAATATTCCTACAGGACTAACGGCGTCAGTTAGGGAATATTCCGTCAGTCAAACGGCACGTGGCCGCGCGTGGGGGCGCGTGGACCCGTGCCATTCCAGGCGCGTGGGGGCGCGTGACGTGTCCAAAAATTATTTTAAAAATATGGTTGTGATCGTGAGGTTGTGTAGGTCACGTTGGTATATTCATTTGTCCATTTTGAGCAATGTATGAGAAGTTATTTTGAACGGATGGTTATGTGCTTTAAAGTTAACGTTTTTGTAGTTAATTCGCATATAGGTGACACGTATCCCGAGGACGAGCGTGCACATTCGAGGCAGGGGGGCTACGACCCTTCTACTTACCAGTGAGTGGGCTTTTGTTTTCCGTATATACCTATATACATGTTATTTCCCAGAAATTAGTATAAATGCTTCGTTTTACGCCGTTAATTTTATATGTTTGACTATGCATGATTAGTGGCATATGAGTTGGTTTATATATTTATTCTTACGTCATTTACATATTTATTGGTGCTGCGGCGGCCTAGGTAAGTGCCAGGTAAGCGTTGTTTTACATTCGCATTAAATAGTGGTTCGAGGTGCTTAGAGAGCTCATAACCTGCACCCCCGGTGTTAGTGCTCCCGCCCAGAGTAGGGCACAGTCTTTCACGTGTTGTTCACCTCCCGCACCACACTCTCAGCTTGAATCCAAGTTAGGTGCACAGTCCTGTCGTACAGACCACTATAGGTGGTTCCGACTCGTAGGTGACCCGCGATTATTCGCACAGCCTTCACGTGATCGTAGCACTAGAGCTTTTATATGTATTATACCCAGGCTTGTCGTACAGACCACTATAGGTGGTTCCGACTCGTGGGCAGGTTTAAGGACTGAGTTGTGATTTGAGCTCTAGATTCAGCCGTACAGGTCACTTAGGGGACTCCGGCTGCCAGTTTAATTATGCTAATGATGTGATTTACATGTTTGAGCACTTGCATATTATTACGTGGCGTTGAGCATGACGGCATGCAATTGAGCATGTTGGCATATCCTTGAGTATACTTGGTATCTTTATACATACGTATATATGTTTAGTCCTGGGAAGTATACAGGTTTTACGACGAGGGGTTATATTATGTTTTATGAAATGGTTTTCTAAGAGATTTGTTTTGCCCACTCACGCTTTTGTTTTTGCGCCCCTCCAGGTTCTAGTAGCTTAGCGGGTTCGGTGGTTTCCCCAGGGACGTCCCGGCATTCTGACAGACCTTCACCTATGTAGGGTCGCCTACGGGCGCACTATTGTCGTAACATTTATATTTGGGCTGCTGTATGCCTTAGGCTCTGAATTCAGTGTTTTAATTACTAACACATATCCTATTACTCTATAGTTGCTAGTTTTAAATTATTCGTACTTTTCTATTACTGTTTCTAGCTTCCGCACTGTGCACATGGCTACGTCACTTCCACGTGGCGGCCAGCATGCCCCGATCTCGGTTGGGGTGTGTCAAATTAGATTTAAGTGTTCCAACTCACCATGAGAATTTCATTCTAACTTTCATGCCACTCTTAATCGTCTAACGAGAAAATTCTCACGAACCATCTTATTTGCTGACCCTCTGAAATAAAACATCTTAAAAAGTAAATTTGGAGCAGGTCCAACCACTCGTAAACCACATATATCACATACACCAATAAAAATCTCTTGCGTTAGTATATGAAATGGTTTTTTTAATCAAAAAATGCACCTTTATGTTTAGCTAAGTCATAGTTTGACTTTTTATGTTTTCAACTCATTAATTTCGTCCCTTATTTATTTCTCCATTCATCAATGTGTTCCTTGTAATCTCATTTTGTTATACTTTGTTGACATGGAAATCGTGTGAACCTACATCGCCAATTATATTATGCCATGTGAATGAAATAAAAAAAATCAGTTTCTTTATCTAAAAAGAAAAATAGTTTAGAATTTCATAACGCCTTAGACTTTTTTTTATAAATAAAATCAATCAACTTAAAAGTAACGCTGTCGGGTCGGGAAAATCTTGGATGGGTGGGGAGGTGTGCGACGACGTGGTGGAGGGGGAAAGGGGGAAAGAAAGGGCCTGGGGAAACTTGGGTGGGTGAGGAGGTGTGCGACGATGTGGTGGAGGGAGAGAGACAGGGCTTGGGAAATCTAGGTGGTGGGGGAGAGGGTGATGGCGGGGGAGAGTGTGGCGAGTGAAGGTGGGAATCACGATTGGAAGGGGTTGGGACTGAATTTGGTCGGAGAATGCAGGAATGGGGAGGCAACTTCAACCCCAACCCCTGCAACTAATTAGCAGAGGGTGAGTTGGGGAGGAGGTAACTTCGGGTAGAGAGGGAGAGAGAGTGCTTTTTTTAGTTTTTATTTCTTTTGTTTTATTTTCTTTTTTGTTTCTTATTGTTTTAAAATTTTAAAATATTTATGAGAATAAGATTTAGTTCATGTGGCATCATATGATTGGTTTTATAGGCTTCATTTAGTTTTACATCCAGCATTTGAATAGATTTTTTAACGGAATTTGACATCAATGATCACATTGATGAGCGAAAAAATAAATAAAAAACGAAATTAATGAGTTTGAAACATAAAAAATTATTGATACGTGCTTCAAGATGCTTCGCAAATCGTAATGTGGCTTTGTCCCAACGCTACCACCCATTTCACACACAAAATTAAATTACCAAAAAAACAAAAAAAAAAAAGGCGAGGGACGAAAAAATTGACATGTGGGTCGAAAAGAAAGGTCCATCGGACCGTCAGTGTGTCCATTCCCAAAGCCCAATGAGACCCATTCCCATTGCGAGTCGAAACGCAGCGTCTCGAAAGTCGTCTGAACGCTCCGACAAACCACGGCCCGGCTCTTTCCAGTTTCCACGAGTCGCATATTTAGGAGCCGTAACGAGCCGAGCCGAGCTGAGCCGTCTAAACGAGTCAATACTCCACGGACGCCAAACACAAAATCCACAAAACTCAGAAAAACAAAATTAAAAACATAAACTGGCTTTCTCTCTCTCTTTCAGTTCCGCTCAATCCTCTGCAAGAAGAAGAAGCCATTTTCTTCGCTACGGACAGAGATCCCCAGAAGCCAGAGGTCAGAGGTTTCCAGATTCCAGGTACCGGAATTCTCAATCCCTAAATCTTTCGATGTTTGGGTGATTTATTGCATAGAATTTACAAGAATCCGTAGTTTTTTTTGAAATTTTGAAAACAATGCATCCGGATTGAGAATTAGGGGAATTGGGATTTTAGGGTTAGGGTTAGGGTTAGGTTTAAGTGTAAGGGGTTGCTTGTTTGGTTGCAGAGATAGTTGGGGTTTTTAAGTTTTGGAGGGTAGGAGGTTGTAGCTATGAAGGGTCGGTCGCACCGGCTTCAGAGTTCGGACCCGCCGGATGACTGGGTTAACGGGTCGTGGACCGTGGACTGCCTGTGCGGTGTCAATTTTGACGATGGGGAAGAGATGGTCAATTGCGACGAGTGTAGCGTTTGGGTGCACACCCGGTGCTCTAGGTATGTGAAGGGAGATGATAATTTTGTTTGTGATAAGTGTAAGAGTAAGAACAATAGGAATGATAGTGAGGAAACTGAGGTTGCGCAGTTGTTGGTTGAGCTTCCGACGAAGACTGTGAGGATGGAGAGCTCTTATGCACATCCGCCTAATGTGCCTACCAGGCGGCCTTTCCGGCTTTGGACTGATATACCGATGGAGGAGAGGGTGCATGTTCAGGGAATCCCGGGCGGGGACCCTGCTCTATTTGGTGGGTTGTCGTCGGTTTTTACTCCGGAGCTGTGGAAGTCTACTGGGTATGTCCCCAAAAAGTTTAATTTTCAGTATAGGGAGTTCCCTTGTTGGGATGAGAAGAAGGAGGATGATGCTAAATTTGACGAGGAAAATGAGAATCCGGTTGATAGAGGTGCTGGCGTTCTGTTCTCCTTGTTGAAGGAGAGTATGTTGGCAAACCCAGTAGCTTCTTTGGTGGGGATGAGGGGCCGAACAGAGGATGGGGCGTATAACAAGAATGCATCTTTGAAAGAGAGGAAAAGGTGGGATAATGAAGCTGTTGATCTTAGGTGTGCTCAGAGTGGTGTGAAGAAGGAGAGAAGTCTACTTCGGCCTGTTGTGTTACATTCGGGCAAGCGGAAAAAGGATGATTTGGGGACATCCAAAGATCGGAGTGGCAAGAAGAAGGCTAGAGCCGCTGAGAAAGAGGCTGATGCAAAGAAGAGAGGTGCACAATCTTCTAAATCAGGTGATTTTCTGTGCTTTGGACGCTTTCTGTTATACTTATCTTTTATGATGGGAAAATATTAGTTTTTGGTTTTGAGAACTTACATGGCAAGAATATTAACCCTTGGTCAACTTACATGGCAAGAATTTTATGATCGGAAAATATCTGTTTGACTCCAAATTTTGTGTTTTAATTTTTATTACTAGTGTTTACACCCACGAGTGATGCAAAACAATTGGAATTTTCTGAGGACAGAGGTCCGAAGATTTCCAAGGGTGACATTCAGAGTAAGAATAGCAAGAAGTTTAGCGATTCCATGGTCAGAGAACCTGCATCAGATGGTTGTCTTCCAGTAGACTCTACTGTTGAAAAACACTTGTCAGAAGCCTTAATTTCTGACACGCATAAACAGAAAATTTCAATTGGTGATGGACTGAAGGAAGACAAGGTCGGCCACCAAGTTCCTGTAGTGCCGGAGAATCTCACTCTCACCAAAACTATTGATGCTGTTGCTTCATTGTTAGAGCACAATGATGGTGCAACTGATTGTGAAAAGAAAGAGGTACGCTTTATTGATACTCATCTTAGTCGGTTGCTAGTGTTGATTAAGTATTTTGTTGCTTTATTTAACCATTCATCCACGTAATGGAACTATTACTGCAAAATCCACTTTCTTTTTATATTTATTCACCATGGATAATTGAATTATTCACAATTAATTTTTGGAATTTCATGCCAAGCATATAGTAAACCTTTTAACAAGGAAAAAAAGAAACCATACACATAAGCATCAATATCAACTCTCTATGCACAAAATGGATTTGTACATTTCTTGACTACTGAGTTTGGCACTATTTAATGCTAGTTCATTGGACTGCACATCTGTGTATTGTGTGTTTGTGCACATAGACATCTCTAAGTGTTTCAGATTTGAGACAAAACAATTTTTTGGAATTGACATTTCTTGTGCCATAGGGAGATAGGACAGCAGATGACACGTTGGATGTGCAACCTCTGATTGGAGATGTCGCTGCTTCAGAAGTTAAGAATCAGATTCAATATTCTACTGGTGGGATCTCTGTAGAACCTCATTCTAAATTGAAAACAGAAGAACGTAATGAGAATTGTAGTAGCTCATTGAAAGTTCAGCATTCTCCTCATGCTGATGCAAAAGATCTCAGCGTATCTTCTGATCACATGTCTGAAAGTCTGAGAATCAATGAGGTACTAGTAAACAGCCCACTATCAAGTGACCATAAGGTGCTTGGTGCTGACAGAAATTCAGAAGCGGCTAGTGATTCTCGTAAAGACAAGGGCGATGAGTTATCTGGTGATCCTTGTCAACTTAAACAGGAATTGGAAGGTTCTGAGGGTTCCATGGCTCTGCAACAAAGTCCGGCAGATCCCAAACACAGTTTGGGGTCTCCTGAAGAGCTTTCAAAACCAGATGGAATTATGTTAAACTCTCCGGCCATACCCAGTCAGTGTAAAACAATAGCATGTGCTGGAAAATCTTCTGCCGTTTCATCCACCGTTGCAGTGTCCATATCATCCACTTCTGATAACTTAAAATCTGGTGATGCTCAGAATCCTCATCCAATTTCGAAGCAACGAGTAATATCTGAAAGTAATGTTAGCACTAAGAAGGATCGTGCTTCATGTGACAACTTGGACGAAGACAGGGACAATATGTCAAGGAAAACAGTAAAAGAGCATATCAGATCCTCTACAAATTCTACTCTGAAAACCTCACACTTGAGCAGGAATCATGATTCCAAGGGGGCCACATCAGAATCAAAAGATTCAATGCATCACTCATCTTCCAAGACATCTCCAGCAGGGAATACTGCTGTTCCTTCAGGATCTAGTGAGCCTGCTGGATCACTGCCCAGCCAGAAGGCTTTACATGTACAAAATAAGAGTTCAGCTTCTAGTGCATTGCAAAGAGGTGAAAAGTTCAACCATACAACTTCATCTAAGACTAATCAGAATCACACACCATCTGCTTTTCCCCCTGCACCACCAAGTGTGCAGGCACAATTAAGTGACCAGGAGGTAAGAAAAGAAGTTTCATTTCGTTATCTTATTATCTTTTATTGCTGGTAAGTTATTGGGATGACATCTTAAATATTTTATTGGGAATTTGGCAGATAGCTATGCTTTTGCATCAAGAGCTCAACAGTTCTCCGAGAGTACCTCGTGTACCACGTGTTCGCAATGCGTCTAGCTTACCTCAATTGACTTCTCCAAGTGCAACAAGCACGTTAATGAAGCGTACATCTAATTCTGGAGGAAAGGATCACAGTTCGGTAAGATGTCAAACTTATTTCATCTTTTGAGAAAAATATGATGTTGATTTTATCATCTTTTGATGAAGAGGATGTCTTGCACTCGTATATATCTGAGTCAAGTTTGTGCCAACTAATCCCATTAATACAATCTCTAGGTCTTTAGAAGAAAAATCAGGGATGCACCTAAAGATGGGTCCCGAAGTTCACGTGAACATGATGAAGAAGCTAAAAGGACGGGCAGAATATCATCTTCTCCAGATCGAAGACGACAAGATGCATCAGATGTTGCTAGTAAGAGGGAGGACAATGGATCTTCGGCAGCGGTACTCTCTGGCAGGAAGAATATTCATTCTTCCTCCACTCATACTGCAAACAGTGGACCATCTTCGTCCAATGAGGCTAATGATCGCAATATGTCATCTGTACGCAGTTCGCCTAGGAATGTCTCTGATGATGATACAGGCTCAGTTGGTCCGATTCATCGTACATTACCAGGTAGCTGTAATTCTGTAAGGTTTCCCATTTCTTCTTAGGTTTTGTTCATTATTTGCTCATTGTGTTTTCCTTGTACAGCCTTGATAAATGAGATTATGAGTAAAGGCAGACGCATGACATATGAGGAGCTTTGTAATGCTGTGATGCCGGTATGGTTGCTTTCAAAAGAATACTTGAAGTTTTTCTTGTTGTTTAATTGTAGTACGCCATAGTGCGTGAAGAACAATGAATGTATCTGAATTTTTTTTCTCCTCTCTTGTTTCTTTTTGCAGCACTGGCATAACCTGAGAAAGCATAATGGAGAGCGTTATGCATACACAAGTCCTTCACAGGCTGTTCTTGATTGCCTTCGAAATCGACATGAATGGGCTCGGTTAGTTGATCGTGGTCCTAAGGTATCCTCATCAACATACTCGCATTTGTGTTTGATCAATGCACATATGCTTTATTGCATCCTTTACTAATTTCATTGCAAAAGTCTGTTGCATGATCCAAATTATTAAAACTGCTGAACCAAAAACATGAACTGTCAATATTCAACCATGGTCGTTTATGTGCTTTACATGTTTCTCTTTTTTATTTTGGGGTGGGGGCGGGGTGTGGGTAATTAATCAATCACCTGATAATTGGAATAAACTGGTGTAGCAAGAGAACTTCCCATGTGAACCTGGTGAGACATGGATGTGGGACAACTTAAGTTCATAATAAGGAGCTGACATTGTGTAGTTTGGGTAGAATAAAATGTTCAGATTGTGGCTCAGTGTTCTCTCGTTCCTATTTTGCTGAAAACAGTAGTTATTAGGACTATGCATTTTCTCATGTTTTTTTTTATCTCTGTAGCAGACAAATTCAAGTAGGAAAAGGCGAAAAGCAGATGCTGAAGATTCAGATGATAATGAATATGGCAAGGGAAAAAATCCAAAGGAGTTGGATGGTAAAAGCATTGAGACACAGAGAGAGGACTACCCCAAGGGCAAGAGAAAAGCTCGAAAACGTAGGAGATTGGCTCTTCAGGGAAAAGGTATAAAGGATGTCAGGGAGAAGCGGAAGGCAGATATGCTTACCGACGATGATGTTGGACAGTCATTTTCTAATTCCACCGAGGGAAGCATGTCCACTGAGGATGATATTCAGGGAGGCGGAGCATGCCCGGTAAGAGGAAGTGAGGCCTCTACTAGTTCGGATGATGAGACCGGGGCAACGTGATTTTTCGTTGTTTGCACTGTTTGGTCTGATATCAAGGCTCTCAATGTGGCCATGAAGCCTCTCAGTCCACCATCCCTTCTTTCCCGTGACGCTGTTGCAGCTGCCCTACGGCTTTGACAGCTTTTCGTGATGAAGTCCCAGTTGGGATTTCATGCTGGATCCGAAAAATGTAATACCAGTGTACATATGAGTTGTTTAATTTTTGTGACAGTGGATTAGAACTCCTCGTTTATTGAGGCGTAGATTCGATTTGATTCTGTAAAAACTTAGGCAGGCTGCACCTCCTCCATAAATTAAACCTAACCTTTTGTGAATTCATCATCTTGGTTTGTTCGGCTCAGGGAAAGGTCAGGATCCATTTCAATATATGGTCTTCACCTTCAAATTTGTGATTGTACGCAGAGGATTAAAAATGAGAATATACCCTTTGCCTTGCGTGGACTGGTTTAACTTTTGCAACAAGAAATATGAGAGTTAAAAGTGAATACTGCATCTTTTTATTCATTGTATGCAGTATTCATCCGTATCTAGTATACATTAGCGTATAATGTATAATAGAATTTTTGACTAGTGAATCTTTAGTCACTCATTCAACGCTTCATTCTTTCGTTTGCATGCAAAATATGAAGTTTCGTCGTCAAATCAGTTGGTCTGTCAAAATACCGGTATATTTTAAAATATTGGTATGTAAGATGGCCGTAACACGATACGTATGCAAGTGGACCGTCGCGTTGCGTCCACCAAACACCAAGAAGTCTTGAGGAATTCAATATCTCCCGTGGAAGTTGGGCCTTTAAGTTTACCCGTTCAATCTTCTCTCTCTCTCTCTCTCTCTCTCTCTAGATATAAAAAGGCCATTCAGACGAAGGGGACAAATCATTGAAAGACGGTAAGAGATTTCTGGGGCATTTCTCTCTCCCCCTCCCACAGATCATTACCCATTGCCTTTACCCCCACCAACTACCTTCAACTGCAATCCCTCCACGCTCCTCCGCCGTCCCGCGGCTGCTGCCGCTTTTCACATTCTCTCTCCGCCGCGATCTGGTTCGTCCGATTTCTCAATTTCGCTTGATATTTATGTGTTTAATTTGTTGCTTGTCGATTTTGTTTAATTGTGGTCTCGATTGAATTGGGCCGGATTCGAATTTGGGATCTTTGTTTCTTTCTTATTTGATTTGTTGATTGGTTAGGTTGTGTGAATCATCAGCCATGACAATTCCGGACTCGGATTTCATGATGGAAAACGGAGTTAGTTGCTTACCCAACACGCCGGAGGAGGAGAAGCGGATCGTCGATGAATTGGCTCGAAAATCGGATGCCAACGTCAAAGAAGGCAACTTGTTCTATGTTGTTTCCAATAGGTGTGTGCTCCTCTTTCTTTGAATTTAATGCTAAAGGTTTTATCTTTGGATTGGCAGCCATCTATTTGCATGTTCGTGTTGCTTTTGTTTTGAATCTTTATTGAGAAGTGCTTTTCGCATCGTAATTGTTTGGTTAATTAAGGGTTCTTAGCTTCTTGTGGATTTTACGTGCTTTCTAAGCCAAGAGCATGCATTTGTGCTATGCTTCTGTATCGAGCAATTGGGTACTTGATTATATTTTCTTTTGTTTATTTTCGTGTTGAGGAAGTCACTCTCTTTTTTGTTTTCTTTTAGCGCATTCATATGGTTGCTTTTTACATGGAGCATGTTGATTCCAAACTTTGGTTCGACAAATTAAGACCATAAAATTGAACAATCACACCAAGAACATGAGTGAAGCGATGTAACACGGTTCACCTAAGTAGCACTGTGTCCACATTGATTTGTATTGTGTTTTCACTGAAAGTGTTGCCTTTACTTAGAAGGCTCGAGAGCCTTTTTTGAGAGAGTGAGAGTGAATGTAGATGGAGTTGGTTACTACGAGAGGGGGAACCTTTTAAATAGGCTAAGGCTTGAGCTTTTTAAACTGGTGGGCCTCCTTTGTGGGCTAAGGCTCGGCCATCGGTGTAGCAAACCATGCGAAAAGGACTCCCCCAAGTCTCCCAAGCATTTATTAGGGCTTGTTTGAAACTGCTTTTAGGATGATTTAAACCACAATCTGAAAACCCAAGGTGTTTTGACATTGTTTGACATAAAATCTTAAATAGTACTTCTGAATTTCAAAAGTTATTTTTAGTATATCTAGAGGGCACCTCCCTTCTACTTTAACAGAAGCATTACTAAATGAAGTTTTAATCTGGTGCTTTTACAAAAATTGGTTATGACGTTGTTCAGTATGACCAATATCGGGATCAGTTTTAACTAGGCCAAATTTTCCTTACACTTTGTAGAACAGATTTAACGTTATCTGCATTACAAGAATCTATACTACTGTATGGGTGACACTACTTTGAAGACTTCTTGACTGTAATTTGGGTTTGTGGCTGTTGTTTCAATAGTAAAAATGCTTGCATGTTTGTAACTGGGTTTATTCTACTGTTTGTCCAGGTGGCACTCAAGCTGGAAGAGGTATGTTGAGCAAGGCACTGGAAAACATCTATATGACGAGCAGGATTCTGTGTCTCAAAAGTTGGATCTGCTCTCATCTAAAAATATAGCTAGACCTGGACCTATTGATAATTCTGATATAGTTGTAAATGAATCTGAGGGCGGTGATTTACAGCTGCATAGAACACTGGTGGAAGAGCATGACTATGTCTTAGTTTCTCAAGAAGTTTGGGAAAAGCTTTTCGACTGGTAATTACTTACTTTGCATCAAACCACTTTCACTTGTATTCTATTTTCTTTAAAAGTTTACAGGGAGTGTGTTTAATAGTAAATTCAACTTAAAATAGGTGCAAGGGCACCTTTTTCATATTTTGTTCCGTATTTTTTATAAAAATATCCTTTAAATCTTACAGGTACAAAGGAGGTCCAGCATTACCAAGAAAGATGATTTCTCAGGGTGACCTTATCAAGAATCTGATGGTGGAGGTCTACCCGCTCTGTCTTAAGATTATTGATTCAAAAGACAGCAGCCAGACAGTTATAAGATTAAGCAAAAAGGTACATTAATCTTTCTTTTGCTTTTTCCTTCATACATATAAGTTTTGGAAAATTTTTCATTGCTTGTAGAAAAGGATATGTAAGGGGTTGCCATCTAGAGCTGTATTTTCATTGTTTTTATTTGTCTGATGGTGTTGCATTCTTGGAAGTGTGTAAACTTTGGCTGTCGTGGTTGTGAATCTTGTGATGACTTTGACCATATGTATATACTATACAATGAAGGTTTTAACAAATTTAGTCTGTTTCAGGCTTCTGTACAGGAGCTTTACGAGAAGGTGTGCAAAATTAGAGGAATAGGGCAACAAAAGGTACATATACATAGTTGTTCCCCCCTTGCTGTCTTTTGGGAGTTTTCGACTTAATTTACTATGAAGTTAATCACATTGGTTTTTCCTTTCCTTCTTAATTTTTGATCACAGGCTCGTATTTGGGACTACTTCAACATGAAGAAGAATTCATTATTGAGTGCTTCAAACCAAACCCTGGAGCAGCTGAACTTGCAGATGGATCAAGAAGTGAGTTATACTGTATTATTAATTTATTTATCATTAATTAGGATGTTCTTTGTTACTTGAATTGAATGATTGCTTATCATAAATTATTATACAAAAGAATAAATCGAATTGGTAAAGATAAAAATGAGATATACTAAGTTGGGTTTTCCAGCCTACTTATTACTGATTAAGCTGCATTTTTAAGTAGACATTTGCTGCGTGGTTGTTATTTCTGCACTCCTTTCTTATTTCCCGCTTGGGATTGGGTTTTATGTGCATCAGCATTTTACTTTGACTTCTGAATTCTTTCTGGATTATCATGAGATTTGTCAGTTGTGACGTTTATTTTGATTTTTCTAATGACTTTATTGATCTATACTTTTCCTGCAGATTCTTCTTGAGGTGCAAGTTAATGGGAACTTATCTTCTCAATTCTCCATGGATTCAACAGGAAATGAGTTAGCATTGGTACCCCTAGAACCATCAAGGTCATCTATGACAATTGCAGGAGGGCCTTCCTTGTCAAATGGTCATTCAATGGATTATAGTTATAATAATTTGCACCAGGGAAGTGCCTTAAGCAGCTCAACATCAACAGAAACAGATGATAAAAGTTATGTTTATAATCCAATGAAAAAATTAGATAGGGGAGGTTTGGCTGGATTGCAAAATCTTGGAAACACATGTTTTATGAATAGTTCACTTCAGTGCTTAGTCCATACGCCTCCACTTGTTGAGTATTTCTTGCAAGATTACTCCGATGAGATCAACACTGACAATCCTTTAGGGATGCATGTAAGTGTGGTTATCATTTTAGTATCTCCTTCACGCCTCCTCCATGCAGATATTATTGAATATTAATTTATTTTCTCCCTTTTTTTCCTTTAAAATCTGACATATGGAGTAATTCTGCAGGGTGAGCTTGCTCTTGCCTTCGGTGAGTTGTTGAGAAAATTGTGGTCATCAGGACGAACAACAATTGCACCACGTGCTTTCAAGGGAAAACTTTCTCGATTTGCTCCCCAGTTTAGTGGCTATAATCAACATGATTCTCAAGTTAGTACTATTTGTTTTCTTAATATCTTCTGTTTAATGCTTTTCAATGTAATAGTATGCTATTATCTAATGTTAAATGTGCAACAGTGTTTCTTTTTTTAAACAAAATGTCACTTGATCTTGAAAAGCCACCAAGAGTGTTTTTCTACGGTATTTATAACAAGCTAAATTACTATTGTATTTTTCTGAATGGTGAGTTCTTTTTTCAGGAACTTCTTGCGTTCTTACTTGATGGACTACATGAAGATTTGAATCGTGTCAAGAGTAAGCCATACATTGAAACAAAAGATTCAGATGGTCGTCCAGATGAGGAAGTTGCAATTGAATGTTGGAAAAATCACAAGGCCCGAAATGATTCATTGATTGTGGATGTTTGCCAAGTAAGAATTCTTTTGTGACTGTTAGTGTTATATCAGACAATGTGTGCATGTTGCTATTGCTAGATCTTAAATGTCAGCTCTTTTTCTCTCTTCAGTAATCCTATGTTTGTTATGCTAATATTTTTCAATTTGGTTCTTTTGACCAATTTGATCAATTTATATCGAAATGGACTTGCTCTTTTGTATTTAGCTGTGTCTTTTTTTTGTTTCAAGAGTAATTTTTGCTTCTCTGTGTAGTTGGATGTTCACTGTGTCATACAAGTAATCTATTTCTTAATTTAGGAACTTTTGTTAAATGTATCTTTTGGTTATTGACTCACATTTCTGGTTTAACTAATGTCCAGGGTCAATATAAATCAACATTGGTATGCCCAGTTTGTAGCAAGGTTTCAATTACTTTTGATCCCTTTATGTACTTATCATTGCCACTACCTTCAACTGTCACCCGGTCAATGACGGTAACTGTGCTTTATGGAGATGGGCGTGGGCTTCCACTTCCGTACACTGTAACCTTGATAAAAGATCGGTGCTGTAAGGATCTTATTGAGGCATTGGCTACCGCATGCTGCTTGAACAGTGATGAAACCCTTCTGCTTGCTGAGGTAATATGGAGTTCACTGACTTAATAGTTCCTTTTGTTTTTCATTCTTTATTTTTTCTGTAGCATCAAAACCTTTTTGTTAGCTCGAAATCATTTGTTGGCTCATTTCAGCATTCCCTCTAGTTTAAGTTTTTAAGCTACAGAAGTAGCCTATATGGTATCAAATTTATGGTCTCAAGAGGCGTTGGAAACCTCTCATCCCCATTCCCCAATTAACTGTGAACTATAGATTGAGGCCCATGCATATGTTTCTCTCTCGACCACATGCAATATAATATATAGGGGCTGCAAGTTAAAGGGGTGTTAACTTGATATATATTATTGTTGGCACCTAACAACTTGAGTTTTTGGGTAAATTATTAGTCTTAACACTTCCATTTCAGGTATATGAACATCGAATTTATCGATATTTGGACAACCTTTCAGAACCATTGTCTTCAATTAAGAATGATGATCGGATTGTGGCCTATAGATATTCTAAAGCAGTAGCTTCCAGAACCAGACTTGAAATTATTCATCGACGGCAGGAAAAGTGAGTCTGCTTCCTTTATCTCTTGTAGTTGAGTTTGCATGCAGGTAAACTTACAAAGTGTGAACTCTAATTTGCCCTGGGCTTCTAAGGTTTAATTTACATAAGCAAGGAATGTCGATTTCAGTGAAAAATCTGAGGACCATGGAATTGTTCTTTTTTTGTAAACCCTGAGAAATAGGTGATTAAGTATAATTGCTTAATCACCTAGGTTCTGCGTGTATCCATTGGATGGGCTCTTTATCATTATTGTGTTTTCCTTTTTGGCTGAATTATTAACAAAAGCTATTGTCAATTTGCAGATGTGCTTTAGATCCTCTGAAGGGTCAGAGAAAGCTTTTTGGAACACCTTTGGTTGCCTATCTAGGAGAAGACCGGATAACTGGTGTTGATGTCGGTAGAGCTGTTTCTAAAATTCTGTTGCCTTTGAAGAGAGTGGTTAAGCTTCATAGCACGAAACAAAATGGATTAGTTTCAGAAGCCATTCATGAACCATCAAACAGCCACAATTTGAGGCCCACGGAGAACATAGAACTAGAGGAAACATCAAGTGGCGAGTTATCCTTCCAGCTATTTTTAGCTGATGAGAGGGGTATGAACTGCAAACCACTTGAAAAGTCTTCATCCATAAGTCCCGGTAAAATCATAAAGATATTTGTGGACTGGACCGACCAAGGAGACGAAGTATATGATGCTAGCTATCTCAGGGATCTACCTGAGGTACACAAGAATGGGTTCACAGCAAAGAAAACTCGGCAAGAAGCTATTTCCTTATTTACATGCTTGGAGGCGTTTTTGAAGGAAGAACCTCTAGGTCCCGATGATATGTGGTTTGTTCTTTTACCTATTCTAATGGTTTCTGTACGGCATTATTTATAATTTTCAGGCAAGTAGGTATCATCGTTGACGTATGTTATTGAATTTTGCAATACAGGTACTGCCCTAAGTGCAAGGAACATAGACAAGCTACAAAGAAACTGGATTTGTGGATGTTGCCGGAGGTTCTTGTTTTTCACCTGAAACGGTTCTCATATAGCAGATACTCAAAGAATAAACTTGATACTCTGGTGACTTTTCCAATTCATAATCTTGATTTGAGTCGATATGTGAAAAGCAAGGATGGAAAGCCTCATCTCTATGAGCTATACGCCATTAGCAACCATTACGGCGGTCTAGGTGGTGGGCACTACACTGCATATGCGAAGGTAGGATAGCTCTAGTGCATCTCATCATCTTTAATTTGAATAGTTTCTGTCGGTCGGTCAAGTATTAGCATGGCAAGCCTTTAAGTGACATGTTATCTTTCCGATTTTGCAGTTGATTGATGAGAACAGATGGTACCATTTTGACGACGGTCACGTATCTCCGGTCAATGAAACTGATATCAAGACTTCGGCCGCCTATGTGCTGTTTTATCGGAGAGTTAAAAGTGGACAAAATACCGGAGAGGCCGAGTCATCAGGGACTCATATGGAATCTTGAGCGTGGATGTCTCGTGCATCTTGCTATATTGTAAGGTTTTGAAACTTCCCACCAAGTTAAGCCGACTTGGTGCAAGAAGGGCGAGCATTGTGGCTGGTTGAACATACAGATTGCACGGCGCTGGGAGTGGACCAAACGGCAATGCGAGGGGAAGGAGCTGCACGACATGGCGGTTGGTACTAAAAATCTGTTCTCCATCTCATACAATATTTTTTAAGAAAACGAAATTTTGATAGACATTTATTTGTCGGGAACTTGCATAAGACGTTCGTGTTATTACGGCTGCCACGATAAAGCAGTGAAGGCTGTATGTAGACAGAATACATTATGTAACGGAGCACTTGTGTAATGGAACCAGACACGTATTTGGTGGACAATTTCAAAGAGCCTTGTGTTCTACTTGAATGTTGCACGTTAATTGCCGTTTACTTTGTCACAGTTTTTTTCATTTTGGTGACAATTTTCTGTTAATTTCATTACGTACAATGCATATACAAACGATAAGGTGAATGGTGATAACCATTTTGTTTTTTTTTTTTTTTTTTTTTTTTTTTTTTTGAAATTTGAAAACTGAAATCTTTGGAAGGTATTTTTAGTTTTTCAAAGAAAAGAGAACTGAAAATTGCTTTCTTAAGGGCTGTTTAATATTATGTTCTTTTTAGTTTTCAACTTTTTGGAGATTGAAAATTAAAATTTTGTTCGATAACTGTTTTCATTTTTCAAAAGAAATTAAATATTAAAACTTTTCCGAGTTAAGTTATCGGTTATTGGGTTTCAATTTTTTTAAAAGTGAAGTGACAACTAAAATCTGAAACCAAATGTTCATCCAATGAACCCTTGAGTTTTCAAAATTTCGCCTAGAGTTTAATTTAAAATTTTTAGTTTTAATTCTTTTGAAAGTTAAAAATTGAAAATAATTAAGGTAAAAAATACTACAGTCAATACAGTAATAAAAATACTCTTTAAGTACATGAGAAAGGTAAAATATTTTACAAGAACAAATACAAAAGTGGGGCCCCCTCCCCTCTAGCCTCTGCCTTCTAAAACGCTCCTCAGCACCATCATTAAACTTTAATTAAACCCTAATCACCCTCCTACCCTAATCCACTAGAGTTGTTATTAAGACACTGAATTATAAATAAATAATAATTGTCCTGCAAAAGCCCAAAAGAGAGAAAAGTTAGGATAAGCACTTATTGAATAAGGTTTGGTACCAATTGAATTGAGTGCCACCAATTGCCAACTAAAAAGACTAAAAGCCACCCACCACCATCATCACTTTCAGTAAGTGAGCCCCACATCATCTCAAATAATCAAAGCCTAGTTGATGATCTCAAGAAAATATAACCTATATGCATCAAAAGGTGTGGGGCTCATTGCGAATTTTGTGTTAGGACCGAATTACAAGAGATATGATAGCATCACTCTTCTATGAGCGAGTTCTTGACTATTGGTGTGCACGTAGTGTTCACAACGCATCAAGAGTTAAAGAATTTTAATGCGTGAGTAGGGGGCTCATACCAAGCGAACGACTCTTGACCGTTGATACATGACTGTTGATATATGTGAGACTCAAAATGCATTAAAATTCAATAAGCATCGACCAGAAAGTGGGCAACTGACCGTAAATGCATCAACAGTTAAAAATAACCCGTAGTGGGAAATAGTATTTAGCATGGTGGATTAGTTTTACCTTGTTCCTAATTCCCAAGTAACCTCTTCTATTTATTTTCTCTCTTTTCCACCGTCCTTTCAGATTTTGAGATCTGATCTGGAGCAACTTTGGATATTTTGCTCTCAGCTTTTCATCAACAACGAGGCCACCAGCCACATCATCGCAATCCAACCAATCACATGGAATCTCTCCTGCAAACGAAAATAGCAAAAATTAAATAAAAACGATTCCATTTAATCACATGCGACACGACGTCGTATTCCGCGGCACCACCGTCCCCGGTAGTTTTCAACACTGACGACCAATAAGGACTCAACACTTATCCACGATTCCACGGTTAAAAAGTAAACAGTGAAATTGAAAGACTTACCGTGGCGGGGGCGGAGGAAATGGACAAGTATGGCGTGCCGGAAGAACCCGACGGCGACCAACCATTACTAATCGGATTTACCTGTCCCTGGCCCGAACTCGAACCCGAACCCGAACTCGAACTCGAATTAGAGTTACCAAAGGAAATGTTGCCCGTCGAGAGCCCGATCGAGTACGCGGGCGACCCGTCGGGTTTAAACAGCCCGAAGTTCCTCTCTGAACTCGGGCCGGGTTTCATGTTCTCATTGAACAGGGCGAACACGTAGATGTTGAGATCCGACCCGGGCCTGAGCGGCGTGCCCTTCTTCTGGCAAATGAGCTTGATCAGATTTCCGTTGTACTTCTTCGCGTTCTCCGGCGTCGCTCCGGCCTCGTCCTCGTCCCCCTTCGACGGCCACCCGGTCTCGGAGATGTGGACCGGAAGCTTCTTGAAACCGAGGGAACCCAGGGCGGAGTACACGGCGTCGATCTGGGCGAACAGCATGTTGTCGTAGTGGAGATTGGTGGCAGGATCAAGGGAGCCGGAGTTCGGCTGGAAGAGGACGTACTCGAGCGGCACTTGCTTAGGGTTCGATTTGTAAGCGAAGTAAGGGTAGGCATTGATCAGGAACGGCGATCCGGTTTTGGCGTGGAAATTGAGGATCGGAGTGATGCAGCCGGTCAGATCTCGGCGGAAAGCGCCGGCGGACGGCGGATACGAGGTCTGGAGAATGGAGAGGGAGTGGGCGGTGGTGACGGCGACTTGCTTGTCGAGGCCAAGACCGACGAGGGCGGTGTGGACGCTCTGCATTGCCGGGAGGAGATTGTTGCTCAACGACGTGTCGTTGAAGGTGAGGACCTCGTTGCCGACGAAGATGCAGGTGATGTTGGTGGCGGGGAGATGGGCCTGGACATTGGACTTGACCCAGGATTGGGCCTGGGCCGGGTCCTGGACCTTGGCAAGGTAGTCGTTGGGGAGGCCCACTATGAACTCGACGCCGGTGTTGGCGAAGGCTTTGAGGACTTTGGGATCAGCGTCGTAGAGCTTGATCTTGGAGATGCCGATGGATTTCACCAGCGGAACGACGTCGTCGGGAGAAGGTAAGTTGTTGGCGATTTGGCCGTAGTTTATCCCCATTGAATTTACCGTTACTGGAACCATGAACCCTTTTCAAAAACAAAAACAAAAACAAAAAACAGATAAAATGTTGTAAATTAGCTGACCAGAATTCAAAATTTTCAAAAAAGATTGCAACTTTGGAAGCAAATAGGGAAATTGGGAGCTGGGTTTTACCTGAAATGATGAGAATTGAAAGGAAAATTGCAGAGAAGTAGGGGAAGCTAGTGGCTGCCATTTTTGGAGCTCACTGCTCAGCTTGGAGACTGAAAAGGGAAGAATGTAGCTGCAGGTAGCTCCAAATTGGGCAACAATGAGGGGAGAGAGAGAGAGAGAGAGAGAGAGAGAATGGGCAACTGTGAGGAGTGAGAGTGAGCAGTGATAATATAAAGCTGTGAACTTTCACTCTGAGACTCTCACTCTCACAAATTCAGAAATGAGCTGGGACAGTGGGTCCAATGTCCAAGTAGGCACGCAACTGTGAAGTTGAGAGGAGAGAGATTGAGAGTGTGGGAGAGAGAGAGAGCGCTTAGGTTTTAGTTGGTAGAGGGGGTTAGATATTTTGGACTTAAAATGTAAAAAAAAAATGAAAGAAACAATGTGATACAACTGTGATATCATATTAATCTAATAACATGTTGTTATACGTTTTAATTTTTAAAATTAGTAGTACATGACTGTAATACTGTTATTGTGGCATTTGCGGTAAACAGTATCTTAAGCTAATGAAGCAGTGTTATGCATTTAACTTTTTTCAGTTGATATGCGTTTTGATTCAAGATACTATTAATGGACAATTAAGCTAATTAAACAATATTATATATTTATCTTTGACGCGTGACATGTCTTGTTGATTCAAGTTACCGATACATAAGGGTGCAACTTAGGCGAGTTGGAAGGTCAACTCAATCCTAACTTAACTTTTACAATTCGAGTTCGGGTTTAGGTTGGGTTTCATTCGGGTTCATTTGGGTTCATATTTAATTGGGTTAGGGTTTACTTGGGTTGGGTTTGTGTTGTCCAACTTTTTCAAGTTTAATCTTATAATAATTTAGTTTCCAAGAATTCCTAAAAAAATTAAGCCAAGTAGCATCAAAGCTAGCTAACTTTAATTTCATAAATCCATCTACTATAAAGCTTTAGGATTTAGAGACTACAAATATGGGCTAACTAATCAAAGTTTCTTATTTCCTAAAAGCTTAAGTAATTATAAAGGGTAATATATGAAAAAAATATTTGAAAGCGTGTTGGTTTTTTGGACTTGGCTCACTTAGGTGTAATATGAGCATTAATTGATACGTGTTACAATCTGGTTAGATTGTGTTTGGTTAGTCGGGTTGAGTTGGGTTAGGGATGAACTGGCAAATGATCAGCCCAACTCAACACAATCAATAAACGGGTTGGAATTAGATTGGGTTCAGATGAGTTATAACTATAAAAAAAAACTACTTGTTCAGGTTTAAAATCAGGTTAGACATGGGTGGGTTCGGATTGGCCCAATCTAAGTTTCACCCCTACTGATACAATACTTCTAGGTATAAATAAAGAGAACTTTAACGAAAAATTCCCGGTACTGTTTACTTTAATGAAAAATCACATTTTTACTCTAAAAAGTCAATCTTAGTAATATTCACTTACAAAACCATTTTATTATTTTCATTAAAACGCAAAGTTTTCAAATTTTTTTGATTAGTTTTCTTTCTTATAAATGTTCTCCAATTTCACCGGTTCTGGTTAAGCAAGGGAGTGATTTGTGTGAGCTACTTTGATTCTTCCTTGACATCCATGCTATGATTGATGCATTGGTGTTGTCATTTTGCGGTGGTGATGGGGTTTTTGGTGGGGTCCAAATGACTGTTGTCCGACAACCTCCACGTGATCCCCCTTCCCAATCCCACTCAATCTGGGAGAGGTTCTTTTATTTTTTTTATTTTTTTATTTTTTTTTATTTTTAACTTTTTGGGGAGGCAGTGAAAGGATAGAGTGGGCGCAAACTTTGCTTTATTGGGAGGAATGCTAACCACCCTTTCATTTCATATGAACATTCTCAGTTTTATTTTTTTTCAATTTTCCTTGTCGTTCTACCTGCTCGATAATTCAAACTGCTTATTTAAATATATTGGAAATTATTGAAATTCAAAGTGGTTTAGGAATTTAATAATTATTCGATAAATGTACAACCATGTTTTTAATAAAACATTAAAATATTTTGACAACGGTGGTGGTTGTGGCTGGGGAACCTCTCTGCCACCCGCGCCTCTGCTCTGCTGTCCTTGCTCTGCGACCAACATCTCCTGCAACTCACACCTCCTGCCACTTTTGTACCCGCATCCTCCTTCACCCTGGACACGAATCGGCTTTATTAGTTTATTTTAGTTTCATGCATTTTGTTTTCTTGGTTTTTTTGTTGTATTCTCTAGATTAGTAGATTTTGTGAGTCCTTACAACGATTGTTTGTGTTCCGGCGATTTATGTGTCCTCGTTGTTTGCGATGGATGTCAGTGAGATACTTATTTTAGGTTTGTCAGGTTTATCGTCTTTGCAGCAGATCTATTCCAAAACTCTTGATTTTAATGGTCTTTTGTAATAGCTGTATAGAAGTTTGAAATTATCAACGTTCTGTGCGAATTATCTTCAGATCAAAAAAAATGTAACATCTACCATTCTTTATGCTTGATGTATATGGTAGTAAAACACTTTATCGTTTCTGTAAAAAATTTGAAAAAAAAGTCCGTTAGAAAAGATCGGTAGCATCTCTTACTTTAAATTTACGATTGACCTTTTTGTCTTTATCTTTTTTTAATTTTTTTTTTTTAATTTATTTTTGAAGGAGCTGCTATTGCGGTAGGTTTTTTTTTTAGGGTTCGAGAAAAACGGCAGAGGCAATTGCCAAACAGAAGGAAGATACGTGGCATGCATGCCAAGCAAAGGAAAGCTGTGTGAATCGCCGTTTCTGGCTGGTTGCTGGTTGGGAAGAATACTAAATCTTATCTCCTTCATTATCTTCTTGAACTCTGATTTGCTTTTGCTTTGTTTTAAAGGTTTATGATTTAATTATTCAACGGCCGCAAACAAAATATGAGATATTTGCTGATCCAAAGTCCGCACCTCATGTGTCACTCCTACGTAAATTTATTGTCTTTTATTCATAACGACTTATATACCATGAATTCACTTTCACACGTTATGTTGGTAATATAAAATCATATATTATTGGTATAGGATGCCAACGTTATGATAAACTTGTGCCATAAAAGTTTTTCTTCTTTTCTCCACCATGTCCATTTGCGCCTTTTGCAATTAATTTCATATAAATATTATGAGGAATCTATTTGATCCACAAGAGAGGGTGCCTTGATATAGCAATTCGAACGTTGAGAGAAATTAGCGTGCGATCGTATATCAGAAATTAAAGGACGGCGTATTTTTGTGCGAGTTGTCTTATAAGTTTTTCTCTTTATATATTGAATCGTGCCCTAGAGCATCATCATGATTGTTGCTGAAATTATTACTCGGAGCATTTGGGTTGATTACTCGAGTCCTGACTAACTATTATTATTCTACATTCCTCCACCATCATATGCCCTTTTGTTACTTCTAATTGATTGTGGGTTGAAAGTTCCAACTTAAATCTTTCATTTTTGAGGACTCGGACGAGTTTTGTTGAGATTTTCTATGGTGTTATGGAGTATCAAATACTCTTAAACTTTCTATCCGTAAGATATTTCGTTAGAAATATAAAAATCAAGATCTAACAATTAAACAACTCGAACTATCTTGTACCGCAAAGCATGGTAGAGATTTTAAAGGTTTGTTTGCTCAATATCTTCTTTCTCAATTCTGTTTCTTGTGTGCTCAACGTTTGATGGATTCGAAACACTTGGATGATCAAACACCTCAGTCGTAATCGAATCTGGCCCGTCTGGAGGGATCTAATCTTGCACTCATAGGTCCTGTTGAAAGACTTCTCCGACTCACTTTTATGTATCTTTACTTCAAATTGAAGACAAACACCCTTACGAAAGAAAGGATAATCTTTAGTGTCAACGGGGTGTCTAGTGAGAGATTGCGACACATGAGTTTATATGCCCCGGTGACACGGTATAATCTCTTGAAAACAAGGCACGTCAACGCTTGCCAAAGACCACTATAATAGCTTAGGACTCCACGAAAACATAGTGTTCTACAAACATATGTCCAAGTATTCACAACCGCATCAAAGACGAGTCAGATTCATTATGTTCTTACAAACTTAATTGATCATAGAACAATCCCATAGATTTCCACCAAGAAGCTGGAGGTGATACAAACCAGTAGCCATTGTCACAGGTGGAAGTTGGCATACTAGCTTGTACGTTAATATTCGAAACCTAATGCTCAGGGAGTGGCAACATTTTCCTTTGCAAGCGGGGCAATCTCTTCCCCTTCAAGGCCTTGTTCGTTGCCAGCAACTTCCAGGCTCAACAGCAGCTTTTCCCATTGTTTCGAAGGTCCCTGAATGAAAGACAACGTTGTTCAATTACTGTTCTAATTGCAGAATAAAAATTAAACTCGACTTAGCAACTCCGAGTTAAACTAACCTTCCACGAAAGATCTTGGGCCATGCAATTCTGGATCATCTCATTCAATGCAGGAGTACCATAAGTTGCAACAGCTCTCTTGACAGTAGTAGCAATTGCAGCTACATCTGCTGGATCAACTTTGTCACACTGAAAAAAATCACGAGAGAAATTTGTTGTTATAGTTATATAAGTAGCACAAAGGAATAGAAACTATAGTGCAATTCTGTGTCGTAGATGCAAGCCAAGCATTGACTTACTTCGACGTTGAAATCTCCCATCTGAAATCCAGTAAAACCTTCTTTGACAGTGTCGACAAGTCCACCAGTTGAGGCAACAATAGGCACCTGAAGTTGTTGCATTCATCAGTTGAAGGCATCAGCAATGCAAGTATCAAACGAGAACAAAGTGGTGAAAGGGGAGTGATCTAGCTCCTTACCGTTCCATATCTCATTGCGTGCAACTGAATGAGACCGCAGGGTTCGAATCTGCTTGGGATCAACATGAAATCAGAACCACCAATGATCATGTGGGCTAACGGGACATTGAATTTTGTAACTCCTATGGCCTTTCCCGGATATTTGATCTCTAGCTGTTCTATCTGCGTCTCCATGTACTTCTTGCCGGTTCCCTAATAGAAAGTACATATCCTTCTATCAAACTCAAACTCTCTATGCTTAGTGCCAACAGAAAAGTGCTAAAGAAAGCAAACAAATGAGATCTTACAAGGATTATTATTTGCATGTCCTCCTCTCCAACAAATTTCGAGATAGCTTCTACTAGAATATCCGAACCCTTCTGCTCCTCTAGCCTACCGATGAATCCAAACACGGGGATGTTCCTGTCAACTGGCAGCCCAACTTCTGCTTGAAGAGCCTCCTTCAACAAAGGCTTTGCATCCAGTACCTGAACATACAATTCTGATCAGTAAAAAGTTTTCTTTTCCTGCTCCATACATCAAGGAATTTAAAATTCTTAGGAGTTACTCACAGTTGTATTATCATATTTGATATCTAAGTATTTGTCAGTGGCCGGATTCCACTCTTGAACGTCCATGCCATTCACGATACCAGTGATGCCGGTTTTGCGAATGATGTTATCTAATTCCACACCTTTGTCTTCTCCAGAAACAAGTTCATGGGCATAGTACGGGCTCACAGTTACAACCCTGTCGGATTCAAGTATTCCGGCTTTCATCCAATTGATTTTTCTTCCTTTCACGGGTTTGTCATACCTGCAAACAGAACATTCACAAAAAGGAACAATTTCTCATTTCCGCAAACAAACCTTTACAGTCCATCGTATAGTTTCGACATCAAATGTGTCATATGTTATACATACCCATCAATGAAGTCGAAAGAACCCTTAAGGTTGTCGGGCAAATCAAGAAGTGAGAAGTCCGAAAAAGGAAATCTGCCCTGGTAAGCTATGTTGTGGATGCAAAATGCGACCTGCCATTCAGTAATCCAGCATTGTTTCAGTTTTCATTTAAACAAAATTGTTGTGGACTCCAAAATGGTGCTCTTCAAACGCAGGCTACCTTACCTTGGCTTTTTTGTAAATCCCCTTCGGTTTGTAGATGGTTTTTAAGTAGCAGGGAAGAAGAGCACTGTGCCAATCATTAGCAATGAATACAACATCCTCACCTGCATTGTGGTACCGATGGATATACATCGTTAGTTATTCTCTTTCTTCCAAGAAATTATACTTTTTGTTAAGAAAAAGTTTTTGAGGAAAAGAGAAAGATGCACACCATATGGTCCAGAGAAGTATTTGTTGCTGTTCAAATTAAGAACCCTTGGTGCCTCCAGAGCAGCCTGAAAGATCGAAAAATTCACAATTGAACCTTATGCGTGTTTCAGGTTTGTAAGATTCATCCATTGCTTTTCGTGAAGAAATCCTTCGATAAATTAGATAACACCAGGATAGTTTCATTTTCTATTCTTTCAAGCGGATAATTTCTAAAGTTTGAGAAAAATAAATCAAACAAAGAGCATGACATGCCCGGCACAGCAAGCTGAAGCGAAATTGGTTGTCCATGTAGTCCACTCCTGTCCTCGGGCCATAGATTTTGGATCCCGTTTTACCCCATACCTTCACATCCACATTGCTCAAGCATCAGTTGAAGATCTAATCAACACATATTCATGCAATATCCTAGAAACTTTCAGCAAATAGCCTTAGACAATTGGAAATCAATTTCATACCTTCTCAAGGAACAGTGGGTGATCCACAAAGACACGGTCAACTCCGCGTTTGTAGCAGTGGAAGAAGCGAACAGTTTCAACCCTACCACCAATTTCTATCTGTACATACAACTTTTGATCATTCAAAGAGAGTTTCCACCAAAGCATACATTACTCACTGAAGCATGAAACTGCGAAAGCATCTCCGAAACATTTTAACATTGTTCAAGTATAAGAAGCATATAGAACCTGCATATCTTACCTCAAGTAGTACACTAGTGTCCCATGCATCTTTGTACTGGTCGTAGCGTGGAGACACGGTCATAACACGGTGCCCGTTAGCCTAGACATGAATCAGGCACAAAAATCAGTTCAATTAAACCCAATGAGATGAAATGTAAAACTCACAGATCAAACTTAAAAAATTCACTAACCGCCATAGCTGGTGGAAGTCCTCCAAGAACATCACCAAGGCCACCAGTTTTGCTCCATGGACCAACTTCAGCCCCCACAAACACCAAGTTCATTCCATTCCCACATACAGTCTCCCCCACAGACAGATCACTCTCTGCCTTCTCAGATTTCCTCATGGCTTGCCTAGCAACCGCAGTGCGACGGATCTTCATCCTAAGCATATCCAAATTCCTCAAAGATCCGAGCCCATTGTGAGCCATGGGTTGGTTCCACATACCCATCTGCCCCAAGTTTGTTCTGATTTCTAACCCTGAAGTTCCATCGACATGGGAACTCTTTGATACAAATTGTGAGGCTGCCAGAGTTGCCATTTATGGAGTCCTTGCTTTGAAACACATCAACCAAACCAATATTTCAGAAGAAAAAAAGTATAATCAAATCCACAAATTTATTTTTATTCGAGCGGTATTCTAATTAATTTAATCTAATCTACGTGAAAGGGGATTCGTAACCAGCTAGACTAATTCCATGTCTGCAAAGTCAACAACTATTAAGCCAAAAAAATTAACATGAATACAGAACAAGATGATCAAGCAAAATCAAAGACAGATTACCCTAAAAAGATGACCAAGGAAAATTTGTGAAGTTTCAGGCTCATAGGGTTGACAGATTAATAAAAAATATAGACCTAAAAATTATGATCATGCAAATTTGAACACTTTGAAGATCATGGGATCTTTAGATTACTCAAGCAACAGAGACACAATGAAAGGATCATTAAATCAAACACCAAAACGATTACCTTAATACTAAAAATTGAAATTATAACAAACTGAGAAAATCTCTGAATATTCTTTCATGCAAATTTGAAGACTTTGAAGATCATGGGATCTTTAGATTACTCAAGCAACAGAGACACAATGAAACGATCATTAAATCAAACACAAAAATGATTACTTTAATACTAAAAATTGAAATTATAACAAATTGAGAAAATCTCTGATTATTCTTTCATGCAGTGATCAAAATGTTAGCGAAAATAGGAACAGATCATACCAAATTATGTGACACATTACAAATTTAAATCAGTTGCAAAAAAATTGTTTGATTTGATTAGATGAAGCTACTTACCAGATCACAAAAACCAGAGATGGTGTCAGTCTCCGAGTCTCACTCAACAGCTAGCTCAGAGTGTTCGTGCGAAATGGAAACCGGGGAGTGTAAATGTGTGGGGTTTATCTACTTGCTGCACAATATTGTCGCATGAAACGTGTCAAAATGGCAACGGTCGAGCTTTCTGGCCTTCCAGAATGATCACATGCAATCATTCCGTCATATTGTTATTAATTCACTTGTTATAATTAGACGACATGAATAATATTTTTTTAAATATATAGAATAGTATTAATAACTTAATACACGTGTTATGATACGAGAGAGATAATTGATTTTGTATGACTGTAAGATGATCACATCAAAAAATTATTAGGCGTTGCATGTAAGGAGTTAGCTCACCCTTATTGCGAATTGTTTTAGGTTAGATACTCATATTTTAATAGACGGATTGCCCTAATTTTGCGTTTTTAGAATATACACCTAAAATATTTATCTCGTAATAAATGATATGCTTCATTTCTAGAGTATATTTAAAAAAATTCAAATACATATATTATCATTTGACAGTGTTCCGAGTACATCATTAAACCTCCCACAAACGAGAGGCGATTCATTTCACCTCATGTTCATTGCAAGTTGGAAAGAGAGCAACTGGAAAATCTTTTTCTTGAATCAAGTGGCGGAAACGACACCGTTGCGAGCGGTGTGCGGTTGAGAATGCATGGTTTGGTGGTGGGGAGGATTCTGAGGTTGACGGTTCCCACATAGGAAAACGACATCCCGAAATTTTGTGAAACAGTGAAGCTACCTGGTACGTTAACGTTGCTTTCTTCCACATGTTTGTTGACTCCTATGGAATGTGGAGTTGCTGAGATAATCGACGGTGGAAACCTTAAAAAAAAGTTGTGTTATTGACATTTTAAAATTTTCATTTTACACTTTTTATAAAATGTATTTTTTTTTATAATATAGAAAATTTGGAGTGTAAAATGAAGTTTTTTTAGTGCTAATAATAATTCTCGAAAAAAAAAAAGGAAAACTAATGAAGATGGTTTGAAAACTTTGAGTTTTGACAATAATGACAAACTAAAGGGTAAAGTGAATAGTACCAGGATTGCCTTTTAAGTGTAAAAATATGATTTTTCTTTAAAATAAATAGTATCAGAAGCTTTTCGTTAAAGTTACCGAAAAAAATTGTATCAAGTTGCAGTTTTGTATTATATTCTGCATGGACATCGTTGAAGCGGCAATCTTTATCACAATGATCTGGAGGTTGGAAAATTGCTTTCAACCCATCTTTTTTATCAATTTTTTTCTTGATTTGACCGGAAGAGTTGGTTCTGCACCATTTTTTGTGATTTAAAATTACTAATGCCATTGAAATTAAGAAAAGTAGAAGGAACAACATTATTTGCATTGTGAATAAGGCTACATTTCTATGCCATCTTGCCAACATGACTACTTGCTCTTTACCCTTCTACTTAATTAGTAATGGGGAAGTTCAAATTTCAAACAAAGTAACCTGACTTGTTGAATCCATGGCATCTTAATAAGGTGAATTGGCTTACAAATGTTCTAATTGTTGAAAAGTTATTGGGTGGTGCTGGAACACAAGGTATAATTAGTTAATGTACATGTCTTATAATATGGATGAACAAGATAGATTAAGACCAAGGGTCTGATTGACACGTCCCGATCTCGATATTCCCTGAATACCAGGATAGGCATATGCTGGCCAACACCCAAGGGTGACGAAAACCATTTATTGAGTGTAAATGCTGAAAACAAGGGGTAGATAAGGCTTATAAATATAAAAGAATAATAAATATGCATTTAAGGAACATGTTCAGAGCATTCAACTAATTAGAACACGTTCCTTAAATGCATATTCATTATTCTTTTATATTTATAAGTCTTATCTACCCCTTGTTTTCAGCATTTGCACTCAATACATGGCTTTTGTCACCATCGGGTGTCGGCCAGCACGTGCCTATCCTGGTATTCGGGGAATATCAGAATCGAGGCGTGTCAGATTGGTATCAAAGCCACTCTACCGTGTGGTGCGAGTGTGCCAATGAGGACGTCGGGCCCCTAAGGGGGGTGAATTGTTAGATCCCACATCACCCAGGGGAGATGATCCTCTATGTCTTATATGTACATGCCCACCTCCATATAGCACGAGGCATTTTGGGAGCTCACTTGCTTTAGGTTCCATCGGAACAATATTGTGCTATGGCAGAGTCGAGCCCGGAATGTGGTGGAGCCCGGGTCAGGATGTGACACTAATAGGGAAGTTGAAGGGTCAAAAGGTAAGGTTCCACCATAAAATCAATTTAGCAATATGGAGAGTCGTTGAACTTTTTAATGCAATGTCTTTTTTTCCTTAATGTGAGATTCATATTCTCGACAACCAAAGGTAATGGGGTTTCAGTTGTAGACAAAAGTTGTTCTTATTCTTTGCCAGAGAAATTTTCATGGGATCATTGAAGTGGATGTAAGCAAGATCGGCCGAACCACTATGAATTCTTGTATTCTTGTGTGTTTGTTGCTTTTGCATGTGGTTGTTTATTTCTTTGAGGTTGATTGCGTGTGCAGTCATCAGGGTTGGTCCTGAGTTTTTGATGTCCGGGGCGAACGTTTAAAATGTGTCTTTTGTTAATACACGAACATATATTAAAAAGAAATACAACACGGGGACATAGTACCTAAATCATCATGAGACTCATCACAAACACCTTCTTCTACATCACCACTATTTTCGTGATCATGAGATTCGTCACCAACATCTTGTAAGTCTTCACCAACATCACTTTCTTTTAAATTTTCAAGCACTTAAACTTTGAGCAATTTTTAATTCTTTGCCTTTTTTTTTTCTTTTCATATTACTAAAGAGTTGTTTCCTAATAAGCATAGCTTCAATAAATTTTTTTTGAAAAATTACCTACACCAGATAACAAACAATTCCAATTCAAATTAGGGAGTTTTAACGAAATACTCCATATACTATTCACTTTTAACGAAAAAAACATTTTTACTCTAAAAAGTCACTTTTGGTGCTATTCACTTACAACACATTTTTGTTATTTTGATTAAAACTCAAAATTTTGAAGTTCTTTTAATTAGTTTTCATTTCAAATTATCATTCCAACGTATAGTATATATTATTAAATTACTAACATATCACCCCATGATTCTAGTATATATATTATAAGACATGTTAATATATAAATAATCATTTATATAATATAAAATTAGAAAATTACCTACTCGGGTTTTACTGCTTTGGTGCTTTGCAATTGCAAATGGAAATGATTCTCTCCCATTCTATTATCATCATCTTCCATTCCCTTCTCTCACACTTTCTTTTTTGTCTTTTTCTCTATAAAAAATTCAAATTAAAAATCGACGTAACTTAATCGTAACCATTTAAGTAAAATGATAAACAGAGAGAATCTTACTCTATTGCAAATTGCAGCAAGTTGCAGCTTTAGTGCTTTTTGCAATCTTGGTCTTTCTACTCTTGCAGTTGGAAACTTGCTAAGTTTCACAGCGCATGTCTCAGACTCTGTCACTCTGGTGGCGAAGAATGCGAAGACTTAAGTCACTGTAGCAATTATTTATTTATTTTAATTAATTTACTGCTAAAGGACTTAACTTCGCTGCTGCTGAATTTGCAGCAGCCAAATGCAGTTCACTACAAAATACTTAAAAGGGCTTGTGCATAACATTAATTATTAAAGAACATGACTGTATTTTAATACCTAATAATCTCGTGTTGATTACATATAAATTCAGTTTTTTCCTTTCCATCAACAAAATACAGTTATCCTTTCAATGTTCTGCATTAACCCTAAGTAGCCTATGTTGGAGAGTTGACCTTTGTAATTAGCTTAGTCACCTATATGGGTCCTCGTAATTAGGATAGATATTATTTGGTGTTTCTTTCCTTGTAAATCAATCTTGTACAATATATATTTCCCTCCTTGGTAAGAAGAATAATATCAGAAAAATTAAACCCTAAAGATAAGTTGTAATTAGCATGGTATCAAAGCAGAGATCCTAGGATTTCTGCTCTGCCCGTTCCGTCAAGCAAACTCGGCCCTCCCATGGAGAACCTACCACCACTCGACGGTGAAAACAGCCTCATCCTAACTGATCATACCCTTATACTAAACACTACAACCCTAAACACTACTACCTTAACCGACCCTACCATGAATCCTCTTCCTATTTCGAGTTCTTCCGACATGCCTCCGGAGTCCTCAGGTAACTGTGGTTATGCTTTTAATATGAATAATGGTGTTACTCAGTCTGGTTGGATCATTGACTCCGGTGCCACAGACCATATGACATATGACCCCATCCACTTCGATGAAATATTACTAATGCTAATGGTATCACTTTATTGGTAACTGGCGTTGGCACTCTACGCCTCACGCCTACCATCTCTTTGCCGCATACACTACTTGTACCTTCACTAAAGCATAAATTGATGTCTCCTGGCCAAGCTACTGAGCAATTGAATTGTTGTGTACTATTATATCTGAAGTTTTGTCTTATTCAGAATATTCTCACTAAGGAGATAATTGGTCATGGTACTAAGAAAGGGGATCTTTATTTTGTGGACAATGTCAGTACAGGACGGGTCAATCTTGCCCAAGGAGCCGTTGATCATAAGCGGCGTTAGATATGGTTATGGCATCACCGTTTGGTTCATCTGCCTTTTAGTTATTTACAGTATATGTTTCCAGATTTATTTGTTGGTTGTTCGATTTCAGACCTTAAATGTGACACTTGCGTACTTTCTAAGAGTCACCGTGTTTCTTATTTGTTGAATTCTAATAAAAATGTTATTCCTTTTGGTCTTGTTCATTCAGATGTTTGGGGACCATCTCCGATTACTACTTCATCTGGTATTAGGTGGTTTGTAACTTTCATAGATGATTGCACACGAATGACATGGTTATACCTTTTGAAGCATAAAAGTGATGTGTTTCTGGTGTTTAAGACATTCCACACCATGGTTCAGACACAGTATTCTACTACAATCGAGATTTTACATTCTGATAATGGCGACAAATATGTTAATAATGATTTTACACATTGTTTAACTAATCACGGAGTCCTCCACGAGACTACTTGTCCTCAAACTTCTCAACAGAATGGGGTGGC